CCTTCACCCTTTGTAATTTTTGAGAGGATCCGAGGCGTGTGTTATGATAACGAGGCATTGCAATCAATTGAATCGATTTTCTCTTGATGTTTTTTTTTTCCATAGAGTTTGGGTGTGGAAAAATATGACGTGTGCGATTTTTTTTGGAGGTTGGTGCCTGAGTAAAATCGGCGCTACCTTATCCCCGTCGCTTCGCCGCCGGCCGCTAGCTTAGCGTTGCTGATCCGACCCGGCAGTGGCGTCAACTGCTTCTTTTTGCTTTGGACGAAGACTCCCACTCCATTGGCTAGCCCCAAGCCTCACGGCTGTACCCGGCCTATCACTGCCTGTAGCGTACCCATCTCTCCCCGCCGCTTTCCAGCACTCATCTGCGGTCCACTTCCGGCGATGCCGTCAATCGCTCTTCCAGGGCACGGTGTTCTCGGCGTAGTTGCGGGCCGCCAAGTGTGCCACGGTAGTACCCGATGTCCCAGCGATGGCTCAATCAAGCCACAGTGTTTCTCCAGAGGCCCCTAATATGCTCCCATGCCCTGTATATCCAAGCTTCCGTCCAATGAAGATTCTCTCGGTGTTGTGACACCGGGAAATACCCCTAGGGCGCGTCGTAACACAGAACCGCTGCATGACAACAACGCACAACAGTCGGGCAAGCAAAACAGCACAGATTCGTGCCGCTGGTCGAGGGAACGGCTATCCCTCAGAGACACGAACCGCTACGCCCGACGTCTTAGCCAGCCATGGTTTCTTGGACCACCTTGGAGGCCACATCGACCAGCATGCCCAGGTTCACATGACCTCCAAGACACCTCGATGCGGCCTATTTCTGTGGCCTTGTGATGCTCTATCAGTCTCCCTTTGAATGCAATATTCGGCCCGTATTTACATAATAGCGGACGCCGAATCACTCTCCCTTGCAGGCGCGCGTCTTGTCGGTTGTGTCGTAATTGTCGTTCAGCATGCAAATCTTCCCCAAATCTAGCAGCTCTATACAAGTTCAGCCGGCAAGGACGCCTAGTCCCATATCAAATTTGGACAAGGCCGCTGCAGGCTGCCGGGGCCAAGACAACCCGGGACGACTAGTGGGCTAACTCGGCTGTGCGTCACCCAAGCACGACAGCAATGGAGGTTGCGTCGCATAGCAATCTCCGCTTTGCGCCATCCGGGGAAGCCAACTTTAAGCCACAATCCCCCCTTCAGCCCTTGGCACAGCCAGTCCGGGAGCCCGCCCGGCGCCACCGCGGCACGGGGAGGGTTGTGTCCTGGGCACCACACCACGGGCCAGAGACCGGAGAGGAGAACACGGCCGATCCGGGGCCCTCGTCACACCGACCCGGGCGGCATTGATTGGCCATGCCCAAATCGCCCTACATATGACCTGCGAGGGGGAGAGCGACATCGTGTCGTGGCCGAGACGCTGCCCTCAGCTTGCTACGAAGGGGGCTCGGACGCGGGACGATGCCTGTTCGGGAGGCAATATATGCAACGTGCAAGCCATCAGGCTCATGATTCGCTGGCGCGGCTGCGTACAGGACGCCAATGATGCTATACGCAAGTCTGCAGACTCAGAGGGCGCGAGATGCCGTAGCCTGCCTTGGCCCGGCCTGGCCTGGCCTCGGCGCAGCCGGGCGTGAAGATCGATGCAAGGCAGGTTTCGGGATGTCTCTGGAGAGGTAGGCCTGCACTTCGTCGGAGGACAGACAAGGTGATGGCAAAGATGGAAGAGTGCTAGGGGCAAAAGACAGAACCGTACTTGGACCAGCCAGATTTGAGATGTGCTGTGTACTGATGTATAAATATCAGCCTGCGCTTCCGTCCTTTTCATCAAACTCACACCTCAGAGCACCACTCACAACATCTCCAATCCTCAGACAAAGCCTTCAAAGCACATCTAAAAACACACATAATCTTCTCCATCAGTCCTCATCTCCTCCGCCACCATGGACGCCGCCTCCGCCGCCAACATCAACGAGATCTCCCTCGTCAGCCCCGTGGCTTGCGTCAACAAGGGCAGCCAGCTCCGGGTCTACGTGCTCTCGGTCGACGGCGACGTGCGCGAGATCCAGTACGAGGGCCGCTGGATGGGCGGCGAGGCCAAGAACAAGATTGGCCAGGCCAAGCTGACCAGCCCGCTGGCGGCCACGTCGCTCGGGCTCGACAAGATCCGCGTCTACGCCGTCGCGCCTAACAACACCATCTCCGAATTCGCCTACGACTCGGGCAAGAACTGGTACGCCGGCGGCCTGAGCGGCAAGTTCAAGGTCGCCCCCTACTCGGGCGTCGCCGCCACCTTCCTGGCCGGCAAGGCCGTCCTGCGCGTCTACGCCCAGAGCGAGGATAACACGATCCAGGAGTACTGCTTCGACACCAACGACAAGGGCTGGACCAAGGGCACCAACCTCGGCGCCGCCCTGCCCGGCACTGCCATGGCCGCCACCTCGTGGTTCAAGGACAACAAGCTCGGGATCCGGTATGTGCCGTCACTGTTGACTAGCCGTTCCGGCCTCGTGATTCCCATGCACAAACCAAAAAAAATACAAGCTAACGAATCCGCTCTCGGGCGTGCCAATGCAGCGTCTACTACCAGTCGGCCGACCAAAAGGTGATCGAGAAGTGCTGGGACACGGGCAAGGGCTGGACCAACGGCGGGCTCGGCTTCGTGGGCTGCCCGCCGCGGGCGCCGCTGGGCGTCGTGTCGTGGGACGGGCCGGCGCACATCCGCCTCTACTACGGCACGTCGGACGGTCGCGTGCGCGAGAAGGCCTGGGACGGCAGCAGCTGGTACGACGGCGCCTTCGACCAGGCCAGCGTGCCCAGCTCGCGCGTCTGCGCCCTCACCGTCGGCGGCTCCAACCTGCGCGTCTACATCCAGAACGGCTCCTACGTCTCGGGCTTCAGCGAGTTCGCCTGGTCCTCGGGCTGGAAGCCTGCCGCCTCGCCCCTGCCGCCCAAGGCGTAGTGGCGCATTGTTGAGGCCCGGGTGGGGGGAGTGGGGGATTACGAGCCTAGTTTTTTTTCCAAGTACGAAGTTGACAGGTTTAGCTACCGTGACACGTCTTTTGACACAGACCACACGCTCGTTTGGATAGCATTGAATTTAGCCCATCTTGAGTAACCAGTCCGCTTTCATGATGCTCTGAACTCAGCCACTCCTGATGTCACCACCTTCCGTTTGAAGTTAATTTTAACGAAACTTTGGCAATGCAAAATCAACTTTGTTCCATTCAAATTGTTGAGGAAAATGATAGTGTAGGAGATTGCTATGGGCTATTCTAATGGTACGTCTGGACGTTGCCTATCTATAAAGATGCCATGCAGAGACTCGCTAGCGAGTGTCGGTACAAAGAAATGGAAGGAGTGCAAGAAAGTAAGAGGGAATACAAAATAAATGCAATCTAGTTGGAGGGCAGCCAAAGATCCAGTGATTAGGCACCTTTTCCCTAGGCACCTTGTCCGAATAAACCCTAAACGATTCCCCAAGAGAAATCAAAGAGAGGCAGGGAAACTCAGATCAAGGCCCAAGAAACCTTGCGGCGGTAATTAGCCGTTATTTGCACGCCATATCTCTGGATCTGGATATTGGGCAAAGAACCAGTCTTTACAGGTTCGGGTGATGAGGTTGAGGGTGGTGCAAGGGAATAAGCTAGTGTGTGAAGGAAAGTCATCCGGAATGCTGGAAACGAACGACAGAGGCTTGAGACAAGGCAGAAAATCGCTAAGTCATAAAGATGTTCCGTTCCGCGTGTGCTGACAAGATCGAGTTGCTGGAGTAATAGTCGGGAAGAAAAAAAGGGTTCGGTGAAGCCACGGATGGGATCAGGCAAGATCACCGAGGGGGTTGGCAGTCTTGCCCATCCTGGCTATTCCGGGCCAGCGCCGAGTATGATAGAGAAGCCTGCGCTCAGCGCCTGGACCCGCCACCAGACGAGCCGCGGTTCGAGCCCGATGAAGAAGACCCGCGGCCTGATCCGCCCGAAGAGCCCTAGTAGCTGTTAGTATTTCCCGATAAATTATTCAAAGTCCGTATGAAATAGCAGGACTGCACACCTGGGGGTTGCCGTAGACGTCAAAGACAACATTGGGTTTGACAATGCCAATGGCAGAGCCATGGGAGAGGATGGGGTTCCACTGCGAGCCACCCGAGCCCGAGCCCGAGCCGGAACCGGAGCCGCCCTGAGAAGACATGGTGTCGTTGATGCTGGGTTTCGTGTGGGTGATGGATTGTAGTAGGAGGTTGAATGGGTTGAGTGCTGTGGAGGAGTAGGAGGCGTGCGTCGGAGATTGCTTGTTTTGGTTGCTGTGGTTGCTGTTGCTTGATGGTGATGGTGAGCGGGAACTCCTACAGGACCCGGGCTCTCGCTCCTTCTTTATAGCAGGCCTGCTATCCTCGCGAGGGCTTGGAGGTGTCGCGGCTCTCGGAGAGGGAGCCGACGATAGACTGGTAGGGCTGAATGTCGTCATGTCCGCAGGGACCGCCACACCTCTACCATCCATGCTGTTGCGTCCCGCGCTCATCCTTCCGCAGCGTCTGGTGACTGGATGGGGCTAGAGGACTCTTTCGGTATCTGCCTGCCTGAGTGTTGGTCTGTATCTTCTAGTACCCCTTGGCAAAGGGTGAGATCTCGAGAGGCGCACTCCTTCTCAGCTGCTCTGCGCCTGCTGCCTATGTCCTGTGGCGCGTTGATACCTAGTTCGTCCGCCGTCGAGCTGCTTTGTCAGTCGGAGGTGAGGCTGGAACCTAGAAGGAACAATAGGGGTATCGTGAGGTGAGGGAAAGAAAAAAAAGGAGGCAACGATGAAATATGTGCCGTCTCCGCAGATTCGAGGTTCAACGCGGCAGGGATCTGGGGTGGTGGAATCGGGAAGGATTGGGTGTCTCTGCAAATTTTCCCGATTGGGAAGGGCTCAATCGCTGTTGTAGCGCTAGCAGGACACAAAGAATTCTTCAGCCTGAGAGGAGCGGGTTTGCTACGCCACGACCGCTGGCGGCATCGATCCATTTTTGGCGTCAAGTGCCAGCTGGGGCTATGCGCCAGGTAGCAGGTTTTTTAAACGTCCAGATCGCAAAGCAAAGGGGGACAAAACCCGATGACAAAAAAGACCCTGGCCAGGCGCTCGCTCGCTCGCATCTCGCGGGCTTGGCCAAGACAGCCCTGATGCTGAAAAGTCCGACCCGCTAGCGTTCGTGCGCGATTGGTGCGGGGAATAAGGGACTTTGGCTGCGGCAGGGCGGCGCCAGCGACATTGGGCATATTGATGGTGCTGCTGTCAAATCTTGACCCTGAATTGAGCCTCGGCCGCATGGGAGTGAGATCCTAAGCCGATTGACGCACGTCGGACCGTGCCCAATTGGCCGGGTCTGCTCCTGTGCCGCCCCCCAAACATGCTTCGGGAAAAGGAACCGACGCGGCGGCCCCAATGAGTGGAATTGTTCGAGAACCCATGTGTCCATCATTTGGCCATTTGACGTTGGTCAACAGTCCATACCACCTAGCCACGATCGATGAAGCACCAGGTACAAAGTCTACGCCAGTCGGAATTCGCTGGTGCGATGAGACTCCGCCGTCGCTCGCTTTCTCGACGGGGTTGAAGACCGACCGGACGAGTGGCTGCGCACCTCGAGTCCGAGCTGGCGCCCGCCAGCAAACCAATGCTTACTGCGCTTGGACCGACGTCAACGGCATATCGAACACCCCCACTCCCTTCTCGATATCGCACTCAGCTGCGCGGCACGAACCCCGCAATCGGATTACCTGAGGTTGCATTTCATTGTTGGCGTGGCCAGGACCGAACTCGGTCTCGGTATTTGGAGAAGGGCTTGGGAGGGTTGCGCCCTCAATTCGATCGAGATGATGGCCCGAACAACCTACCCACGAGCAGCCCAAGCAACCCTGAGTGTTTTATGTAATTGTTCGCGCAGACGGCCAAGTGTTGGGGTTTGCCTAATCTGTCACGGAATCCCATGCTCCACGCTAACATGAGAAGCAAGGCAAGCACCAGCACAACTTATATTTATATTCACTACATACAACCACCTTTCGTCCGTAGCTACTTTGTATCCCTCCGTCTCCAGCGCCGGCGCCGGGAGAGCCAGAACCAGGCTCAATCGAGCCTCGCTATTTTAAAACACTTGGACAAACAGAAGGCGATTGTCGGATTCCTCTCCCCCTGACTGCCCCACCCCGCAAGGCCTTGGATGAAGGCCAAGAGCTGATAACCAGACCAGTCGTTGAAGGCGGAGGGATCAGGAGGCAGGTAGGTATCGTATATGAAGTAGGTAGATGGTAGAGTTGGTAGTAAGTACTTAATGCAAGTTGGATTCGTGCTTGCCTTGCTTCTAACTAGACCACTAGGGTGACCTGCACTTATATACTACGGTAATATTAGGCTTCTAGACTTTCTATTCAGCCTAACTCTGTCCCCAGGCCCCTTAGGAAGCCCTGGAGCGTGAGGATAAACTTGTTTTTACTTTTAACTACGGTTGGTGTTGTTTTTAGGACTCTCTTCTATCTTGATCGTCTGTGCCCATTAGTGCTCCAGACGGACGTTACGCCGGCCATCTGGAACTACACCATGAAGCCTACCCTCTCTGCTGTAATACCAGGAAACAGTCAATGTCTCCACCAGGTGCACGATCTCGCACATGTGTCCAGATGCGAGATGCGAGAATGACGTGCTACCAGTGAAGATCTTCTGCCCCCATTGATGACAGCGCGCGGTTGGCATAAAAGGAGTGAGAGTAGTCACCGGGCATCAAACCAGGGAAGCGGCCAATCTCATGGGCCCGACAGTCCCAAAGACAACTCACACGGGACACGGTGAGCCTCGCGGAGCACCCACCGTGCCAGAAGGTCAAGGCCCGTTGTCGACCCAGTCATCCTCGGGATCCTGGCCAGTGTCCCTAGTGGGAGGTAAATGAGCCAGCTGTGTGTCTGTGTGCGAGGAGGAAGTGCGAGTAGATACCTAGTCAGGTCTTAGGGAAGGATCTCAGAGGGCCTTGGCACGTAAACTTTGACTAGATCTAGCCATATTTCGAGGCAGGTGTGTGTAAATGGTGACCAGTTCGTGAAGCAGGAATGTTTGCTCTTCCAGCAGCAGGGGGTTCAACCTCGACTGCACGGACGGTCTTCCGAAGCGGATTCTGGACTTTCCATGCCAAAGTCGTCACAGCGCGGCCCAGCCGTGCGGCGGAGATCACTGGTACGGCCGAAACTCGCATTGACGAGCGGAGTTCGCACGCTGGCTCCATCCGCTTTTTGGTCGTCGTGGATTTGCAGGCAACAGCAGGAGGTTAAAACAGGGCGCCCTGCTTAGGTAAATAAATTATGGGGCTCATTCCTCCCCGTCCTAGTGGGCGTGGGCTTGTGGCTCTCGCGTGGCTGGCGTCTGGGCTTGCTGACACAGCCAAGAGAAGGCCACTGGAGAGGTACCTATGTCGGTGCCTGACGACCACGTCGCAGTCAGACGCCGAAAACCAACGCGTAGGATGCTTCCGGAAGCGTCCGGGCGCTGCCGCTGGAGACGTGCTAGGCTGTCGTGTTTTCCAACCGCCCCCGTCGGATCCTCGAGGATCTTTCTTGTCCACGTCGCTGCGAATCAACATCAACTAACTGATCAATCGTGCCTGGGTATTGATTGAACTTGTGAGCATTGCCTTGAGTATTTCGAGAACGACAAAAACGTCGTGGCAGACTGTCCGTGTGCCACCGCGGCGTATGTTGCTTCGAAGCGCAGACAACACCCAACACCTCTATCCCCATTGAACCACATCCTTTCTCCCTTTCTTCTTCTCTACCTGCGGCAGCGACCGAACCCTAGCCCCCGAGCACCTCACAGCTTGATCTGCTGCAGCTGCACAAACAGCGCCTCGCCGACGGCCAGCACGGTCCCCTGCTCGTCCTGCAGGATGCCCTCGCATGCGTACCTGCCCGCGCCGCCGCCGCCGCCGTCGGCCTTGACGCGCGACGTGGCCAGCACGGCGCGGCCGGTGCGCACCGGCCGCCTGAAGCGCACGTTGAGGTGGCCCGTGACGAGCGGCAGCTCCGGGAGGCCACCGACCTTCTTGTTGACGAGCGCGAGTAGCCCGATGGCCTCGTCTAGGATCGAGCAGACCACCCCGCCGTGGCACACGCCCTCGTGCCCGTCCACGCCGCCCGCGAGGCTTAGTAGCGCCCTGACCTCGCGGATCGGGAGGGGGCCGCCGCCCGCGAGTTGCTGCTGTTGCTGCTGCTGCTGGCCCGCCGGGGAGGAGGGGCCGGGCGGTGGGGGCCACGAGTAGAAGTGGATGAACGCCGGAATTGTTGATGGGGTGTTGACGGTTTCCGAGAAGAAGGGCGAGGACTTGCCGTCGTTTGCTGCCCGGATCCCATGCCCGAGGCCAACCACTATATTTGGCGTGGATCGTAATATCTCGGAGCACCATGGTATCGAACCGAAATGTGCCAACTCGGCCTCCAGTCTCGACTGGATCGCCCCCTCGGACATGTCTGGCACGGTGTGAGACCACCGGGTGCTGCTGAGAATGTAAAGAGTAAGAGAGCTGGCGCTCCAAACACCAAACAAAAACGATGACTTCAAAGCAGGTATTGTTATCAGTCGGTGAACAGCGCGCGAGGAGAGACAGCGTGATGTTTCGGCAAGTATTGGAAAGATTCTGCGGATCAACATTACAGCTTAATAAACGGATGGGGTATCTTAATCTCAGAAAAACAAGACAATAACCTGAACACAAGTAGGTGGTATGTGGATGCGCGAGTCGCAACGGCCCCCATATTTCCAAAAGCGGCGTGTGAGCCGCGTGAGCCGCGTAGAAGACCTTGCTCATCACTTTGTAGAATCCCCTCGGAGACCCTTTGTGCGTAGCATCAGGCTGGTCCCTTGGTCGTCAAACTGCAGTGCCTTGGGAGGTTCTCCCGGGTTGAATTTGGAGTCGTCGCCGGACGGGGCCGTCTCTCCTCCGGCGAGGCCCCGGCCGTTCTCGCCCTTCATTGCCCTCCGCAGCTCGTCCCGTTGGCGAATCACAGCCTCGCTGTCGGCGCTGCCCCGCCGGCTGCCGCCCGTGCTGCTAGCCTCGTCCGAGAAGGCGTCCGCCCCCGGAACGAAGCCTCCGCGCGAGAGGAGCCGGCCGTGCCAGAGACCCATTATGCCGCCCTTCTTGCGCTCCGGCAGCTCGTCCTTGCCCGCGGTCGCCACGTAGAGCAGATATCTGAGGTTGGGTAGCGTGTGCCGGATGTCGACCACGCGGATGCCCTGGGAAGTACAGAGTACCTCGATGTCCTTGTTGAGGAGGAACCAGCCGTAGTCGAATCGGTACTGCGCGCTCGAACCGCCGCGCGGCACATAGAGCGGGAAATCGCGCTGCGGATCTGGCAGCATGCTGATGTCGTCACGGATGCTGGACCGCGACGCATAGGGCGAGACAGGGTAGGGGAGTGCGACGCCTAGGTACGACTGTAGCGCGTTCACCAGCTGCGCGACATATCCAAGTCCCGCCGAGAGCGCGTCCTCGCTCGGTGGCGCCGCCGAGCTGCCACCACCACCCAAGAAGCTACTTCGGCTGCTCTTCGGCGCAAGGGCCGGATCGTAAGTCGTGTTCGGGAGGGTGACGCCGCATATTTGGAACGACAGCGGCTGTCCGGAGGGCGAGTCGGTGATGGGGAATATCCGGATCAGGTCCTCGCAGATGCGGCGGCGCTGTCCGTGTATATTCTCCTTGGTTTTTGCCACAATGTGCTGAGAAGCTGAAAGCTGCTCCGTTGCGTTCTCTACGTCAGCTAGCGCGTTTTCTTGCAACTGTCGCCCCAGTGCGATCGCCTCTCGCCGGGCCCGGATCGAAGCTTGGAGCTCATCGCGCCGCTTCCTAGCAGCCTCCACGGCGCGGTGCTGCTGCGCAACAAGCTTCATGGCTAGCCGCAGCCGGTCCTCGCTCTCAGCGACGGGGATATGGGACGCCTCCTCTATCGCTTGATCGGCGCGCAGCGCCAGCTTTGTCTCGGCATCCTGCGCGTCCCGCACCGAATTCTCAAGTGTACAGAGCTTCATCAGGGAGTTGTATGACGTCGTGAGTAGGGAAGGGCCCTGCTTCGGCGGCGGTATCTTGCTCGGGATGCCGTAGACGTACATGCCATCGACGAGGTGGAACACCAGGCAGTTTGGGGGCATGTGGATATTGCTGATGCTATTAACAAAGCTCAGGCAACGGAGGTCGACATCGTCCTCGAGCAGAAGGAAAAATGGCTCCTGGCGCTTTGCCCAAACCCTAATAACCAGCTGACATGATCTTATGATGGAGGGGCTACGGTCCGCCAGCTCAAAAGATTGGAAGTCGAAGTTCTGGAGGTCGAGTGTCAGCTTCAATGGTCCGGCTCGGGGCCTCAGTAGTGGGTTCGAAGATGGCGGCTGGGGAGGTTCCTAACAGTAGCCCGTATTCCCGTCTCGCTTATATAAAAGGGTTCTGACGTGTGGTAAGTGTGGAGAGAGAAGAAGACATCGGCAGTCCTCGTATCGGCCGATAGCTCGAGTTGCTTCTGGCGCGTGAGGGGGTTTGCGTTGCCGAGGTTAGTGCTACGACGGCGGGGTCTGGGTTTGGGAGGCGATGTCGGAGTCGCTGCGCTGCTCAAGTTCTCGCTCGACTGGGAGTATTGCAGCTGGGATGCCTCCCGAAGAGTGTCGAGCTTGCCGTGCGTCTTGTTGATGGCAGCATCGTCGGTGGTCCGGCCGTGGGGCTTAGTGAAGGTCAGGTTGCGCAGTGACAGGCCGTGGAGGTGTCGAAGCCGGCGGTTCTGAGGCAGGAGAAGCGGTCTGTTGGTTGGCATCGTGTTGGACCCAGCTGGAGCTGCCCGGAAGCAGCCCTACAGCAGGGACCAGAGCATCGAGGTCGAGGGTGAGGGACGCTGGGGGCTTGGTAAAACAGTGGCCAAAGCACGGACCAAAAACAATAGAAAGAGCACGATAATCACGTCGGCGCCAGCATGGGTAGTAGGTCCCAATTAAGATGGTTGCGGCAGGTTTGCTGACGACAAGAGGTGCGGAAGCATCAGATGCATGGTCTTGGGGAAGTTACTGTCTGGCGTCATGATGCAAGCTCCCACAGCGTGCGACCTGCGGTGCGTCGCAAGCCTCGAGCTGTGCTCCTGTGGGGCAACCTGGCCGAGGTTCGCACGTTCTTGCGTCACGTGGATCTTCTTGATTGAGCGCGTCATGGACAAACAGACATCATGGATGAATGCCAGCGTAAATACAATGAACGGTTTTATTTCGATGATATGGAGTCTTTCCTAGGTCGTTACCTATTTATACATATAAACTGGGAATTCTGTCAATTGAAACGAGGCGTGATGAACAGTCAACCGCGTCACACATGGGGTGAAGCAGACCTTGGAACCTGACGAATTAGCACGGCCGCAGGCAATGCAGCTTCGAGGCTATATAAAAACAAAGTTTATAAGTGTAAAAAAGACGACGTACCAATGGAATAGCTGCCATGTACGGACTGTATAGAGTATAGAGATAAAAATAAGATATAAAAGCCAATGCGCCAAAGATTTCTCCATGGGTATCCGCCAGTAACACCAACTAGATCAACAGGTTGACAGAAACGCTAAACGCCGTTGGCATATGAGCATAACAGATAATAGGAAAAAATAATAATAATAACAATAAATGTAGTAAGAACAATAAAAGAATAGGGAATAACAATGAGAGAGCAGAAATTGAAAGATGTCGTGAAAGGGAGAGGCCACTAGTCTACTTCGAGGACAGGGTGATGACGACTCGGCCCTTGCCGCCTTTCGTCTTGGACCAGCCCTGGCAGCCGCCCTCTGGTTGATTATTGAACCATCCATGGTTGGCACCCTGCTGCGGCGTGGTGTTGGGCTGGTTCTTGACTCTGGGGTCGGTCTCGCCGGGGTTGACACAGTTCTGAAGGTTGTACGTGTCAGGCTTGCCGCAAATGTTGCCCTGCTTGCACACGAAGACGCACTTCTCCATGTTGCTGACGCACCCGACGCTCGTCCTCATCGACATGGGCTCGCCGTCCATGCGGATCAGCCGGCTCACGTCGACGGTCGCGTAGTCACCCGTCGTGAACTCGCCCCAGGTCTGGTCGATCTGGCCGAACCCGTTGATCTTTGTCGACCCCTCGTAGATGGCGGCGAAGCCGCCGCTGACCTTTTCCTTGGAAAGCGATACAGTCACCTTCTCTCCCTTGGCCAGGGACCACGACACCTGCGGGACGCGGACGTTCATGCAGTGGCCCTCGTAGTCGGGCTTGCCGTCCGGCAGCGTCCCCTTGTTCCAAATGATGACGGTGACTTTGCCCTTGGACTCGTTCTCGAAGACGAACGTGTTGTGACCGTCTTCGCCGACCCAGATACCCGAGCCTGGATTCTTGCGCGCGTTCACGCCCTGGCCCTTCATGCCCATCTTTGACATGTATTTGCAGTCGGACGCGGTGAGACCCTCGACGGTCTTGGCACAGCTGAACTCGCGTTTGGCGAGGAATCCGTTGGAAATATCGGTAGATCTGCGGCGGCTGTTAGTTTGAGACCCGCCCCCAGCTGGTTACCTGTGCTAGTTTGCTCGAAATTCGGGGCCACTTACTCGGGAGCTTTGCGTATAGGAGCCGCGGCAACCACGGCAACAAGGCCGACGACGGCGGTGAGGCGAACTAGAAACCTGTTCATTGTGTTGGGTGGTGAGATTATTGGATGGTGGGTTAGCTTGAGAAGCAGGAGGATTATCGATACTATGGTAGAAGCGATTCTACGGATGTGGCTGGGATAGAAGGAATCAAGCAGGCCTCTAGAGGCGGCCAACTCTAGATATAGACACCAATGCCGGCCTCGTTGAGTCCATTGTGAATTACGCGACTACCGCTGCGGTGGCTGCTACAAGAGAAGGCTTTAGCTCTGCCCCTGCATTGCCGCCGATGCGTACAAGACCGCGGCATCATGGTAGTAAGGGACTCTGACGGGGCAGTCATCCCGAGGTCCTTGCCTCGTCCTCGCTTAAGAGCTGCACGCAAACGCGGATTCCACATCAGACAAGCTGATAGCTGCGAAAGCTGCAGTCGCAAGCGCCGAGAGAGAATCCACAACGCGAAAGGTCAGCTTCGTGCGCGTGTGGGGTTTATGCCGGCAATTGGCAGCACTCGCAGCGATGTCCAACAGTAATCACTGCCAGTATGGGAGGCCAAGAGTAGCGGGTTGGGGGAGTTGAGGATGCTGAGCCACACGGCGCAGCTGCCATGATGTTAGTAGCATAGTAAGGTGCGGGATGGCAGGCCCAAATTGCCGGGACGTTGGCCAAGCGCGTATGGAGTCAGCAGTGCTGGGCGCCTGGGGCTGTGTTCCGGCGAGGGCTTCTGGAAGACCAGCACCAGACCCTGTATTGATTGGGAAGCTCAATCGAAACCCCTCTGGGCCTAGTGCTCTCTGCCCTCTGCACGCACATTGGCTTGCGCCTCTTGCTCCCAAGGCTAGAACGTCGCAATCGGGGCGCAGGCCGAGGTTCTAATGCTGGGGCGAGGTGCAAGCGACAAAAACCAGAGCGGAGACGGCGGCGGCTTCTTGCGCTTAGAACACAAGGAGTAAGAGTGCGTATTATACTTGGCAGCGATCGATCGCTGGAGGAGGCCTAGTGGGGGATTTACGGTGATGGGACGGTGTTCTTGTGATGGGATGACTGACTAGGGAAGCTGTGGGCATACAGCCGGGGTATGCCACGACCAATAGCAACGCATAGAAATTCATAAATGAACATATTTTTATAGCACTGAACCTGTGATTGACTTTGAAAAATATGTAAGCTAGGTTTTATTTGGTAGGAGCTGAACACGCCCTGCCCTGGTCGATACATGCCCCGCGGCGAAAACTTTTGCCTGACACCTCCGTACGGGCGGGGTATCCGAGGTTGACGGAACGGTAATGCGATGGAGCGATGAAGCGATGAAGCGATGGAGGGATGAAGCCAGTGAGTCTCGGCCCTCGGGATGATGGAGATGGACAGCGGAGAGCACCTAAAACACTTATCACTGGAGGCGTGAAAGGCTATCCTGGACAGGCTTTCGGGACATGACTCGGGCTGCCGTCCCACGCACTCTACGTCATCTCGCTGTGCTGAGAAATCGATGCGGCTGGACGGGTTCCTACCTGTGGACACCATCAGAGCTGGCACACCAATCCTGGGGTAAGCCTGAACGGGCAGTTTTTCGGTGCGCTAACTGGGCCGGCACGATGCCCGGAAAAAAAAACGGACTGCAAAATTTATTCCCCACCACCACAAAAAAAGTAGCCCATTCAATCTGCAGTCATTTTACCCTCTGCATTTATAATCCTGTATAGGATATCTGGTATCTCGTCCACCTACGCATTAATCCGGGCCTGGGCACTCAATGTTTGCCCGGTAGTTGATTCGCCCACAAATTTACCCCTGCCGCATACTCATGCAGCAAGGGGAACCGGATTACCCACCACGAACAACACGGCATCAATTCCAGGCCCCGCCGGCCACTATTCAACGATCTGCGCCCCGCAGCACAGGCCTCAATATTGATCATTATGACGACCCAGGCCCTGGTGGGCAGGCTGCTGCTGCCCCGTTCCAACACACCAAGCTCTTGGCCTGGCAGGGGATATTGGCCAATGGAGTCATGGAAGCAGCACAGGTTGGACGGCACCTAGGCTCCACCGTCCTGCGAGTCGCGTGTCAAGGATAGGGATGCCACCGTCGGGCAGTCGGAATTCCTGGCGGCCCGGAAGCTTGAGCGCTGTGGGCCAAGGATTCCAGCTTACGAAGCGCGGCTCATGCAGCTCGAGTCCGCTGCTCAAGGCGCGGAAGGCTGCCTCAACCCACCCAACCAAACCCACCGACTAGTGGTATCGACTAGTGGCACCGCACCTGTGCAGTCGCGCTGCCTGCTCATCCGCCTGTTCCGCCGCTAAAGACGGCAGTTGTATTTCCGGCTCCTTCGCCTGGTCCCTTCCGGCTAGCGTGGTTTTCAGAAAGGCCTGGCTGGCAGCGGCGGCATCTCGCACGACATCGACAAAGGTCGCGCCGCCGCCAGTCCCATCCTCTCTCTCGGAACCGGGGCCGGCCCAGCCAGTCCGTCCACCCCCACACAATCACACACCCGTTGCGCTTCGAGGGATCCGTGGTCGCTTGCTCTATTGTGCGCCTCCCTCTTTCTCCTTGCCCTGGCTTCCCCCGCTGCGGAAAGCCGACGCCGTAACCACCTGTCGTCGGGCACGCCTTGTCGTCGGCATGGAGACGGATGTTTCAGTCGAGACCACGCCGCCCTCGGGCGAGGCTGCAAAGGACTCGTATAGTGGGAATGAAGACCGCTCGATATATCGCGCCCGCGCCTGCCTGCGCTGCTCCCGCTCCAAGTTGCGTTGTATGCGCACCGCCGACCCAAGCGTGAAGCCATGTGTTAGGTGAGTACCACCGAGGAAGCTTGACCACCGCGCACATACTCTTCTCTGGTGCCACTCGCTCTTGCCCCTCTGCGTGGCCCATATCTCTAGATATTTGTGGGCGCCTGGAGGTTTAGCCACACCAACAGCCGGCTGACCAAGACTCCCCGCAGATGTGCTCGCCTTGGTGCCGAATGCACTATCCCAGAGGCAAAACCTCGCGGGCCCAGAAGGGGTCAAGGCCGGTAAGGACACGCAACATGGACTGTCTGCCACTGCGAGCGGGCCCTTGTATATTTTGCTAGTCGTGTCTGGTGCTGACATGGGCGCCATCATTCGTAGCCGGGTAGGACAGCTGGAGCAGAAGCTGGACGGCATCATGTCGCTACTCACGGCGAGTAAGCATCTGAATGATCAACGACAAAACAAGCCAAACAGCACGTCCCCAACCTCGACAGTCATTGGAGAATCCCGACAGGAACCATTTGGGCGGGTATTTCCCCCCGGCCCGGGGCTCCTGACCAGCGCGGCATCGTACTCGCCCACAGTTCAGGAGTACGTGCCAGCGGTCACGCCCGAGAGCTTGTCCCACCGGACAGGCACCGACACCTCACCCAAGGCGACCCCTACTGAACGGACTGCCACCTCAGCGCCCGACTCTGTCGGGCCCGCGGATGAGGAGCTGCCGCCACAAAGTTACGAAATCTTTCACGGCATGGAACTCAGCAGCCACGAGGCCCGGGCGGCGCTCGATAACTACAAGAGTGTGTACCAGCTGAATTTCCCCTTCGTGCCCGTCTCGAGAAAGATAAGCCCGGGCGCGCTCTTCGCCAAGTCGCCGCTATTGTTCCGTGCAATCATGATAAGTTGCGCGCACCAGAGCTATAGCCTGCGTAGCTCTGGTGACCGGTGGTTCCTCAGTCACATCGCGCAGCGCGTTCTGGTCAATGGGGAAAAGAGCCTGGAGCTTCTCCAGGCTATTATCATATTCCTCGCATGGTAATCATCGCCGGCGCGCGCCTCTATGCTTATTGAAGCCAAGCAGCTGACAGGGGTCTCCACTACTAGGTGCGATTATCAATTATTCTTCAATTCTCAAGGCACATCAATGCTCCAGCTCGCCCTTGGGATGGTTATGGAGCTGGGCCTCAGCAAGCCACCCATCGCGAGATACACCCAGAAACAGGACGTCATGGTCAACGAAGCCTTCCGAAGAGTCCCCGGCTTCAGCATCCGGTCGTCAATCAGTCGGGAAGACATGCGCACCATGCTTGGCGCCTTTTACTGTGCATCACTGTAAGACCATGTTTTCCCCTTTGATGGCTGCCCTCCCTCCCAACATGGGGTCACCGCTCGCCCGTGCCCGAAGCTGCGCTTGTTCGCTAACGACCCGAGCGCCTCGCTGATCCCAGCCGCGCCACTCTTTTCCGACGCGAACACTACTTGCCGTATACCGAATTTATTGACCAGTGCTGCACAGACCTGCTGGCAACCGAGGAGTACCAGACAGACAGGGCTCTCGTCGCCATGATCAGGATGCAATGTCTCGTCCGCCGAGCTCAAGCCCTGCTACCAGGGGCATATCCATGTCCAGACACCACCGTCACCTTCACCCCTTCGGTCGCGATAAGCCTCGCGGCTCTTCGGCGGGAGATGGATGAGATGGTAGCAGGTCTCCACCCTAGTGGCATCGAAAACACCCGTGAGTGCCATCTATGTTGGCAATGTGACGGCTCCCACCCTCTCCTGCACATTCCGGAAAAGCCCTGCTGATACCTGGACGCAACATCCCGCCGCCGACAGACTTCCTCAGACTGCACTACCATGCTTCCGTGGTCGTCATGCACGAGGCAGCGATTTACACACGCTCCATGCTGCCCGCCTCAGCCCCAGTTTTCCCCCAGAGTTCAACCAGCTTTCAAGGTCTAAAGCGCACTGATGCGCTCTGGCATTGTCTGCGCTCTGCTAGCGACTGCATCGAAACTTATTTGGAGGTGCCCGCCGAAATTGTAGGCCTCCAACCGCTTGCGGCGATAGCACTCTTGACCTTCAGCCTCATGACCGCTACGCGCATGCTGTTTCTGCAAGATGCCGATTGGGACGCGCTGACTGCACGTCGTGTGTTTGACTTCCCGGGCGTCGTGACCCGTTTGACGGACCTGTTCGCGGCCGGCCAGGCGTTCGAGGCCGCCCGAGGCACCTCGGCGTCGGGCATGTACCGTCGTCGGTTCCGGGACGACGCCTACACCCTCATCCTGTCGTCGTACGTGGCCAAGCTGCTGTGGCTTAGGCAGTGGTACATGGCCCGCACGGCGCCGCCGGGCCACAACGTCGCCCCTCCCGGCGAGGACCCCTTGCCGGGCGACATTTCACCCAAGCCCCACGGGGGGGAGGAGGATGAGCATTTGCAGCAGGTGAGCGAGGCCGCCGTGCAGCCGCCGCAGAAGGAGCCTGGCGCAACATCCAGCCCACCACCCAGGGGCGCGCAGTTCCTGGGGGACCCCGCCTCCGGCTTGGCCCCGGAGCCGCCATACGCCGACTTTCTCGGATTCGACGTTTCCTACCTCGACACGTTTGACGATTCCTTCTGGCACGCCTTTATGATGGACCCCCAGATGGGGGTCCCACCTATGAACATGCAGATCGACCCCTAGACTTGAGAGCACCCCCAGCGACACCTTACTTGCCCCTTCACCATCGCATCTGCATTTTGGCCCCTCATTTTTACATGGCCTCGCCGGGCGGGTTGCCCTCGGCGCAGCACAACCGCATTGTTTAGGAATGGGAAATGGTGTTACGAACCATGACGGAGGCATCTTTGGGTAAACCAGCCTTAAAACTATGAATTCACACCATAAAAACCAAAACTTTGAGCTTTCGGTCGAGTATGCTTCAATTACGTGGCCATTTGCTGAGTTCTAGTCTATCCGGTCGAGATTGGAACTTTGCCGCCGCAAATCGCATTTTACACGCGGCATCCACACAAGTGCCCCTTGACCAGCAAGCGACCTAAACCTTCTTCTAGATCTAGATCTGGCCGGCCTTGGCGAGCTCCCTGAACTTGGCAATGGTGCCCGACACGGCGCCTTTGGCGACCTATTGAGAGAGGGGGAACTGGTCAGCCCGGGTTTCCACGCTCGGCGTAGTCATATTCCCATAGAAGAAAAGGAGACGGGAAGTCAAGTAGTACCTTGGCGTTGGCCTCCGTGTCAGCTTTGGGGTTCTGCAGGTCGAAAACATATGTGAGGAACATGTCTGTCGACTCGCCCGACGGCCCGGCGCTGACGATGTTGGATACGCGATCACCAGAGTCCATTTCGAATCTGCGCGGTACATCGGGCGTTAGTTCTGCTAGTGCACCATCATCCACTCTCTTCATCATTCCTTGTCCCTTTCTTTCCTGCCAAAAACCACCAGTTCTCGGAAGGCGGGGAGGCACGCACAGGATCTGGGCCGGGTGGTAGCTGGTGCAGACCTCGGTCACCTTTCCGCTGGGTCCCCAGTTGGCCTTGAACTGGACGATCCGGGTCACGACGTCGCCCTCCTCGGACACGACCTGGCACGACTCGATGGCCGGGACGAACTCGGTCGGCGACCGCACCTTGCGCTGCAGGCCCGCCCACACCTGCTCCCGCGTCAGGACCGGCTCGGCGCCGGGCGGGTTGATGGGCTCCGAGTGAGCGTGGCGGAAGGTGTTGGCCATTTTTGTCTGATGGTGGTGATGATTTTGGTGTCTAAACCTGGAGGGGAATTATTGATATTTGGGATTGAGGCCGAGGGGGCTGAGTGTGATGATTTCAAGTGTAAACGAGGTGCGTGTACACAGGATGCGGACCGACTTAAATATGTCTGGACTTGTCTGAGGCCTCGCTGATACGCCCGCCAATGTACCTGTTTTGAAAAGTCCCTTGTGGCGCGCGGCCAGAGCGCACAGAGGGGTAGGTAGACAGAGGGCATCCAATGTACCCCGCCCGGGCTTGGCCCAGGACCCGGATGTCCGCATCCTACACGGCCGGGGCTCGTGGTGGAGGAATGCGGACGGCCCGACTATGCCAGCCAGCCCGCCTATCAAAGCGCCAAGACCATCGTCCCGTGGAAGCTTCTCGGCGCAGCTGGCGTCTCTTTGCAATTCCCCCCCGGGGGGTCGGCGCTGCTTGCTCACTGGCGGACGGACTGAATGTTTCGATAACCAACCAACTGTATGCTGACGATTGAGAAATCCTTCTCCTTTTTTTTTTTTTTTACTGCCTCCCATCATCGCACTCCTCGCCAATCAACTTGCTAATATGCCTCGCGCCTTCTTCCCCACGCAGCTGTCAGCATGGTAATGGATGCCACGAAATAGTGCATGGTGCCAATGTGACTAACTCGCGATGCGCCCGACATGCTGCATTTGCACCGGCCAGCCAAGGCGTCCCGTGAGCGGCCATTTCGCATCCCTGTCTGGAGGAGAGATTGGGGTGAGCCTAACGGGTGCTTCCACGTGGGAAACAGTGCATATCTCCCCATTTCATTGACCCAAGAGTGTGCCCAGTAGCCAAGCGGTTTTTGCATCCACAACACTCGTACTTTTTAAACTCCAATCCCCGCTCGTGCTAAAAATACACGAAGCTGAGTCGCTTTGGGATCCATCGCAACTTTGAGAGATGGTGTGTATGTGATCCAATAGTCCCAAGGCAATGATTTCCAAACAAGAGGTCTTTGCCCGGTGTGTTGGCGCACATGCCCCCAAGAACGTGTGTAGCTTCAGTGTCTTAGTAGCTACAAAGGACGATCGGCGGGGCGGCAGCTTAGAATAAGAATGGTACCATTCCGCTTTTGTTTTATAGTAAACATCTATACGCTTTGCACTCCAGTATCTACACGACCGTGATGAACCGGAGAAGGTCATGACATGTTTGTGTCTCCATCTGCTCAGCCGAGCTGCCCACGTCAGTTTACCAACTTACCTACCCCATAGAATATCTGCCGCTGCTACGAGAGTGGAGTAGAATGGACATGGACAATCGAACTCGGGTTCTAGGTGTGTGTTCTTTGTTACCTTGGTGAACAAGGCATGGAGAAGCACCAACCATTGTCTGGTTCATTGTGCGCGAGCAACTTCTTTGTTAGTTTAATAGCCCTCCATCTCAATTGTCTTCATCGTCCACGTTCCGTCGCCACCGTGTCTGGTATTTTAAGCGATGAAATCCCCTGATCAACTTCAACCATGAGCTCGCCCTCTTCTCCGTTATCAGTTCAACTGTTCAAGCGTCCCGACGATTTACCACAAGCATTCTAGTTTATCGTCACGGGACAGCATTTCAAGATGCCCACCACTCAGAAGGGCCAGGCACTCTCCAAGCTTCCCTCCAGAACCGGAGACGGAAAAAGGACCACCAGGAAGTCCAACACCTCCCTCGAGGTCCCGACTCCCAACCACAAGGAAACGCAGGAGTTCCCAGCTCTCCTCGGCGAGTGGGAGCGCCTCGCGGTGCAGGTGAGGACCAAGTACTGGGGGTCCCGCGACGCCCCGTACTGGGGCCCGGCGAGCTCGTACAACCAGGCCAAAGCCAAGCTCGAGGAGGTGAGCAGGAGGGCGCTCACGCCCCAGCTACTGGGCGGAGTCGCCCGCAAGCTTGGGGCGCTGCACATCAGGATCCTGCCCGCCTTCAATGACATGCTCGAGAGGAACGGCCCAGGGCCGGCGGAGCTCCGCGCCATCCCCGACGACGACAAGACCAAGCACAACGACAGCCGCGTGCTCTGGTGGATGCTCGAGGCGTGCGCCGAGCACCTCGGCCTCGACGGCCGGCTCCGCGACGGCGTCCCGCTCACGACGGCGCTGGCGTGCGCGCTCATCAGGGGCGTCGAGATGGTGGAGCGCATGTCGCCCGCCGAGGGCCAGCCGCCCCAGGCCTACGTCGCGGCCGTCATCGTGCTCGTCAAGTTCCTCCACAACTTCCTCGAGACCATCGCGACCGTCACCTGCGAGGCCGACGCGGTCGCCGTCGCGGGCTTCGTCGAGACATGGGCCAAGAACTGCGCCGGCCTGCACGTCCCGTCAGCCCTGAAGCTCAGCCTGCTGGAATCGGAAATGGCAAGGTCCGTGTAGTTTTCCCATCTCAGGTTTGGTAGGAGTTTGGAATACAGACTGATCTTTCTTTTGAAATTTTGTTCGGCCTCGGATTTAGGCGCTCTTGTTGTGCTCCTGAAATCGCTGGCAACGTGTAAGTGACATGAAACGGGCGTTTTCCCCATGTGAATTTAAATAAACTGACGGGCCCTCCTATAGGCCCAAGGCACCTAGGCAGTCTTCCTGGAGGCCCTGGAAGTAGAATCATGCTGGGTGGGGTCTTTGGACACGCGGGTCCGTTGTATTTCCATTGGTAAGTGGCGACCCCTTCGCTGCGAGATCTGACGTCTGGTTTTGCCCAACAAACAGATCGGTATTACTTCCTGATATGGCCCCTTTTTGTAACGGCGGTGCCACAAAGTACACGGTGAGACGAAATAGTGGGATAAGGGTAGTAGGCATTACGGAGAGAGAAGGTGACGAGGCCGGCTTCTGGCCCAGAAATTCATCTCATCTCTCGGTAGACTTCCGGCACACCAATGACAGGCAGATTTCCATAATTTCTCTAAGTAGCCATGCTTGTTCCGTGCTTGATTCCTTCCTCCATTCTATCGATTCCATGCATGGGGGCCGGCCACTGGGACGGTTTGCTCGTGCTTCTACTCCCTCACCTCCTAACCTCAGTCACGACCAACAAGCGCCACAATATCATGCTCTCCATCCTCGCCCCTCTGCTCCTCCTTGCTGTCGCCGCCAATGCGCGAGTCTTGGAAAGCATGGCCCGCCCCCCGCGGGGCTGGGCCCGGGCGCGCGACGCCCTGCCGGCCGAACGCCTGACCCTCCGCATCGCCCTGCGCCAGTAGAAGAGCCCCGCGGCGCTGGAGCAGGTGGTGCTGGCCGCGTCGACACCAGGCCACGCCGGGTACGGCCGGCACCTGTCGCGCGACCAGCTGCGGGCCTTTACGGCCCCGGACCCGCGCGCCGTCGCCGAGGTCTCGGCCTGGCTGGCCGCGGCCGGGGTGCGCGACTTCGCCGTCGAGCACGACTGGGTCGCGCTGAACACGACGGTGGCCGTCGCCGACGAGATGCTGGGCGCCCGGTTTGCGTGGTACGAGCAGGTCGCGACAAAGAGGGACGCCACGCCCCGCCGCCTGCCAGCGCGGCAAGACGAGCGGCGGCAGCAGCTGCGGACGCTTTCGTACGGCGTGCCGGACGACACAGCCGCGAAGCACATTGAGCTGGTGCAGCCGACGACGCGCTTCGGCGGCCCGTCGGCGCAGCGCGTCGGCTACTTCGAGTCGGGCGACCTCGGGCCGGCCACTGGGGAGCCGTCGGGGTCGCAGGGGTCGCGGCCGCTCTGCAGCGCTGTCGGGGCGGTCGAGGCGCCCACAGCGGTCGAGCTCTGCAACCAGACCGTCGGTATCGGGCCGCAGTGTCTCAGGGTCCTCTACAATGTCAACTATACGGCATCGGCGGGGGGGCAATCTGGTGGCGTTTTCGTCCTTCCTCGAGCAGAACGCACGATACGCCAACTTCGATACGTTCCAGAAGCAGTTACTTCCGACAGGCGCGGGCAAAGCTTCAGGATGGAGCTGATCAACGGAGCTGTGAATAACCAGACCAGCACTGCGGACAGCGGCACGTTCTTGGGCCCATGTCTTTTCTGTTTTGTATTCCAAGAGTCCGTGCTGACTATTCACGATGCAGGCGAGGCAAATTTCGACCTTCAGTATATCTACGCTATATCCCGTCCGCTCCCCAAGAGTCGTAACAAACCCAATCCCTTAGTTACGACACCAGTACTCCTGCATGTAAAGGTTTCTAACTGTAGACTTCATCCTCCCACCCCCCGATCATAGGCCCCTGGTACCCACGCGTGACCAACCGCGTGAGTCCGGCAACGAGCCATACATCGAGCTCCTCACCTACCTGCTCGCCCTCCCCGACTCGGCCCTGCCGCAGACGCTCTCGACCTCGTACGCCGAGGAGGAGCAGTCGGTCCCGCGCGAGTACTCGCTCAAGGTCTGCAACATGTTCATGCAGCTGGGCGCCCGCGGCGTGTCCGTCATATTCGCATCCGGGGACACGGGGCCCGGCAACAACTGCGTCAGCAACGCCGACGACGCCACCGTCGTCTTGGGTCCGACCTTCCCCGCCGGCTGCCCCTTCGTGACCTCGGTCGGCGCCACCGCCGGCGCCGGCCCCGAGCGCGCCGCCGCCTTCTCCTCGGGCGGCTTCAGCATCCACCACGCGAGGCCTGACTACCAGGACTCGGCCGTCCGGACATATGTGAACCAGACGACGAACGTGAGCGGCGGCGGCGGCGGCGGCGGCGGCTCCGCGTACGCGCCCTTCTCCAACGCCGCCGCCGGCCGCGGTATCCCCCGACGTCTCGGCCCAGGGCGTCAACTTCCACGTCGTCGACGGCGGCCGCGACCGCCTGCTCTCGGGCACGAGCGCCAGCGCGCCCGTCTTCGCCGGCATGGTGGCGCTGCTCAACGCCGCGCGCCGCGCCGCGGGCCTCCCGCCCCTGGGCTTCCTCAACCCGATGCTGTACCGCGCCGCCGCCGCCGCCGCCTTCGCCGACGTCGTCGACGGCTCCTCGGTCGGCTGCAGGAGGGAGACGGCCGCGTTCGGCCCCGGGGGCGCGCGGTGGAACGCGACGGCCGGCTGGGACCCGGTCACGGGCCTGGGCACGCCGCGGTTCGATGCGCTGCTTGCACTGGCTGCGCCGGGTGTAGAGAACAATTGAAAGCGGGAGCTTTGCATAGATCGAGGGTGTCGGGCCCCCTCCTCCTGGGCTATATCGTACATGTTTGCAGGCAACCTTGGGAAGGTTTTGGTCAAGACTGCGTAACTCTGCTGTATAATATGTACATATGAAATCAAGTCTAAAGTTACACTAACTGGCGTTTAGTGTGCTCAACGGACAGAGAAAGTAAGACTTTCCCGCAAAACCATGCCTCGTCCATAGGTACCCATCCATAGGTTGGTGTTTTCAGAAACGTCGAGGCCAAGTCCCGAAATGCGCGTCCCAACCTAGGACCACCAGCGCCGCCGCCAGGTTGGACGACCCGGGCGGGGCTGAGCGGCGTCGATGAACTGAGCGGTCATGTCGGTGCTGTCCGCGGTGGCGGCCGAAGACGCCGTAGACTGGAGGCTGAGGTTCGCCGTCACGTAATCCTTGTCCCCGGCCCTCCTCTCCTCCTCGCCGCACCCAAGCGGTCGCCTGGGGCCTTCGTCTTCCTTCTTCTCACGTCTGCCGCCGCCACCATGGCCGTGGGAAGCGGACGGCCACCTGAACGCGGCCGAGACCGAGGACCTGATCCTGGCGGAGCGGGAGCCGCGCGGGCCGCCGTCGGCCTGCGCCCCCTTGTCCCTCGGCCGCCGCCTCATGGGAGAAGACGAGGACGGGATGGTCAGGCGCCTCTTGGCGAGCCACGGTGGCGGCGTGCGGGGGAAGGGCGGGTGGTTGTGCGGGCCGCCGCCCTTGCCGCAAGCCAGGCTGGTGTCGATGTTGAGCGTCGGGGGCTTTCGTGCCCCGGCGCCGCTGGCGGAGCGCGCGAGGCAGAGGTTGTCAAAGGTGACCCGCGACCCGGCCGCGGGAGGGGAGCTCGACTGCGAAGTGATGTCCCCCGGCATGGTGACGGCGGCGCACATGTTTTTTTTTTTTTTGCTGCGGCTCCGGTTGTCGCCTGGAAGGTTGGTGGGGGCTCGTGAACGATCAACGCACGACGAGGAAAGGAGGGGATAGAAGAGAAACGTTGTTTGCAGGCCAGGAGGACTCGAGCCGTGGCTGCTGCCCAGGGGCAAGGTGGGCGACGTGCGTGGATATAGTGAAGATAGGGGCGGAGGAGGTCGAGGTGAAGAGAACAACCCTGCTTCCCCGCGGTCTCCTTTCATCCCTCCAGATAGACCTGGCAGCGGCCTTGGAATTAAAGCCCAGGCACTCGACGGCCTGCGCCCGCCTCCCTCCCTAGCCAGGTAGTGGGATGCCCGATGTCCTGCAGGGTCAATGTCGTGCTAGCGGGACGCGCTAGAGGCGCACTAATGTTGTCGGTCAGTGGGAAACCGCCCGCCGGGCTTCGCGGTGGCGCCTAATTTCAGTGGCGTTGTCCCGTCATTGTGCGTGGGGATGCTGCGTTTCGCCTGCAGCAGCGTGTGTACAAGTGTGCCTTGGTTCATGATGCGCTTTGTGCCGTGGCTGATGCTGATCGAGCGGAGATGGCCCAAGAGCCAGCCTAGGTCACATTGGCTGCAGGTAGGGATATTAGTCTATTTCGGGCATTCAGGTATTGGAGCAGATGTGTCTAGCGTGGGAGCGTACCGTGTCGCACGACTTCCCACCTGGCTACTATCTCGCCAGCGAAGCAAATGCCGCATAGTAACATGCGCAACGATTCCTCCAGAGCAAAGTATAACTAGACCAAAAAGCCCCCATCGGGAGGGACTCCAGGTCCTCGCCGATCCCGTGGGGCGTTAAGATTTGAGCTTCAATCCATCAACCAAACCGAACAGGACGGCGGCTGGGGGGCTGGCCCGGCTGATGGCGGCACGCTGGGCATGGTGGGTAGGATTGATCACTGATGGTTCCGGGGAAACGGTCGAGATGACGATTTCGCGTGCGGTTGCGTCGGGGAATTCCATGTCGATCAGGGGAGAGCGAGCAGTTGGCAACACCAAGAAAACCAGCTCGAAAACCAGCTCGAAAATAAGCACAAGCAGACAGCACGCCACGCAACATGGCGCCAAGCAGCAGCTGGCAGGGCCAATTCACGTAGCGCTGCGCAACTGTGCAACTGCGGGGAGCGGCCAAGGCCCGCCGAGATGGTTGGTTGCCGCAGAGGCGGGATTTCGCAATCCAGGAAATTCCATCTCACTCGACGGCGACCCCATCGAGCGGAGCCCTTCGTCATCGCCAAGGCACCATGATGCCTCAGCTCGCCAGAGCCGGTAGCACAAGTGCACTGGGAACGACATGTTGCCTCGCTTGGGCCTGTACAAAAATGATTTTGCTTCGGATTCAAAGGCAACTCCAACTTGGTTTTTATTAAAAGTGCTAACAAGCGAGCAAACACGGAACGACTCGGAGTACCTACTCTAAAACCAAGGCTCTCCGTCACGGAAGAAGCGCATAATCCGGCCCAACCCCATCACATCACGTGCCCAATAAACAGACAGGCAGCCATGGTCCTTGTCCCAAACGGCACCCCGGGCCCGACGCCCGTCGTGCGCATGATGGTGCTCGAGACGGACGAGCCGCACCCAAAGTCCAAGGGGCGGCGGGGTACTTACGGCGAGATCCTCAGGAGGCACTTTGAGAGCGCCGGCGCCGACCACGACCCGCCGCTGGGCGTCCAGACCGACACCCGCTTCGTCGTCACCGACAAGGGTGGCAAGGTGCCCACCTACGACGAGCTCAACGACTTCCACGCCGTCCTGATTACAGGGAGCATGTACGACGCCCACGGGTCCAACGAGTGGATCACCCAGCTGGTCGGGCTGCTCACAGGTTCGTTTCTATCAAACCTTTCTTTTCTGTTCTGTTCTGTTCTGTTCTGTTCTGTTCTGTTCTGTAGACAAATCTCCCCACCAGCTAACTCGACCGCCAAGATGTTTGGCGCCGGCGTCCCGACATGCGCTTCTCGGGCGTTTGCTTCGGCCACCAGATCCTCAACCGCATCCTGGGCTCGACCGTCGCCCCGGCCCCGTCGCAGGACTGGGAGCTCGGCCACTGCCGCATCAACCTAACCGCCACGGGCCAGCGGCTCTTCCAGACGAACCAGCCCTTTGTGCACCTGCACCAGATGCACCAGGACCAGGTGGTCGAGGCCCCCGACCCGGCCGCCTCCGGGGGCCTGCTGGAAGCGCGCGCCCGCGTCTCCGTCTGGGGCAGCAGCAGACACACAAAGGTGCAGGGCACCTACATCCCCAGGCGCGTCTTCACCACGCAGGCCCACCTGGCATTCGACGAGCGCATGGTCAAACGCGAGATGGAGATGCGCGTCAAGCAGGGCGCCATCGAGGACCCGGAACACGTCCACCGAGCCGCCGAGACGGCTCACCTCGAGCACGACGGAGATCTTGTCGCCGCCGCCATATTGAGGTTCTTCCACGGAGATGACGACGAGATCGACGCCTGAGGGGAGACTGGCTGCTGCCACGCTGTGACGCGCCAAGGTTTAGCGTTGGCTTGGGGCTGGAAATGCTAGAGGGTGGGTGGCTCATAACCGTGCTCAATAAAACGCCCGCTACAGCGGGCTACCCAAGATGATTGGTATTCGACTCCTCCCAAACTCATTCTCCTCGTGATTCGCGCTCACTCTGGCGGGATCCAGCCGAGGCTCTTCATGGGCCACGAGATATGGATCCTATGCTTGGAAGTCAGGGCGGCGTAGACCCCCTCCATGAGGTGCGGCGCCCACCCGTGCGAAATCCAGCCAAAGTTGATCTCTTTGAACAGGGCGACAAAGTGCGCAAAGACTATGAGGGCGGACGGCGCGCGGCTCTGGAGGAGCCTGATATAAGGTGTTGCCTCGGTCAGCGAGAACATGGAGTACATGACTAGCTCGCCCGCGTCCTTGATAGGGACGCCCTGCTCGTCGTAGATAACCGAGAAGCACTGCGAGACGATGTTGAGGGCGTCAATGTAGGCGGGCAGCTCGGGTTGTTCGGCCTCGGTGTCGGCGATGTAGGTCCGGAGGTTCCGGAAGGGCTCGGCCTCGACTTCCCGTAGATCCACCAACGCGAACCGCTCTAGGTTTCCCATGACGTTGGTGGTCAGCGGCGAGACGGGCCCGCGCCGGATGTTGACCCAAAACGCCTCGCTGATGGGGCCCACGCCGCGGAGCAGCAGGCACCAGTCCGGGGTGCCGTCGGCCGTGCCGCCGGTGCCGTTGCAGCCGGTGCCGAACATGAGGAAGTTGCCCGGGCGCGGGCCCGAGGCGAGGGAGAAGTATAACGAGATGATGGCGAAGACGTAGAGCGCGTGGCAATTCTCCTCGTTGATCTGCGGGAGCAGCGCCCCGGCCATGCGGAGGCTCTGGTGCCAGTGGTACGTGGCCTGGCTGGCGTAGAACTCGCTGCTGCGCCGGCTGCCCTCGCGCCGGAAGCGCGCCAGCTGCATGCTCGAGAGCGCAAACATGCCGTGCAGCAGGAACGGCCAGTCGAAGGCCAGCTTGGGCAGCTCCTCGCGCCAAAAGGTCACTATGAAGTTGTAGGGTGAGATGCAGTTCACCGTCGAGTTGGTGAAGTTGAACAGTAGCTCGAGGTCGTCCACGTTGGGCATGCTCGACGACGACAGCACGCCACCGTAGCCGTAGGCCGGCGCCGCGGGGGTCGCAACGTGCGGCGCGCCCAGCGCCTGGGAGGAGACCGCGGGAGGGTACGCCGCATAGGCCTCGGGCGCCGCCGACGTGCCGGGCGTGCCGGCGACGCTCCCGGCCCTCGAGTTTCCCCCAGACGACAGCTGCGCATGGGCATCCTCGGCCGGCGACTTGGGCTTTGGGGGATACTGACAAGGCAGGCTCCTTGTGCGGCAGTACGAGCACGTGGGCTGCAGCTCGTCACACTAGACGGCCTTGGTCAGTTCAACGGACGCGCCTAGCGGATGCGCGAACCGGGAGGAGGCCAGGCGCACGGCCGACGGTCTGGTCGCCCAGAGAGAGGGGGGAGGATTCGATGACACCACCAACCTTGACCCTGCGCTTCTTGCAGTTGTTGCAGCCCAGCCTGGACTTCCGGTGGGGTCTCCGCGAGGTGTTCTTGCCCAGCTCCCGCGGCGACCTGGCGGCTGCCGGGCCAGGCGACGTCTGCGCCGATGTGGGATGCATTCAGCAGATTATTCCAGGATTTCGCAGCTGCCCGTACGAACCTCGGAGTCAAGCGTAGGGGGCGACATGAGACCGACGCGGGCAAGGGGGTCCGCTAGCAGTACATGGCCTGCAGACCAACGCTCTCTTGGCTGGCAGAGGAGGAATCAACGGTTCTGGGATCAACAGTTCTGGATGCGACCGACACGCGCCTCGCCGGTCGGGGGGGAATCTCTGCTTGTATCGAAACCGCAGCATATCCTCCAGGCTAAGGCTGTGCTGCCCCGAAAAAAGAAGCGGCAACCGGAGATGAGCACCGCGTTGCGCACGTGCCGTTGGATGGCCTGCGTGTGCCAAGGTGGGTCCCCTTGCGCCATTGCAAGGGAGATCCCACTAAAGGCCGAATCTCAAGCGCCCTTGCAACAGCACAGCCAGAAAGAAGTTCAATGGTTTCGGCACTAAGCGAGCGTGCATTCCCAGCGCTGCAGGCGCTCTCCCAACTCACTTTGCCTCCTTGCTCCTTGTCGAGTGGGATCGTCACCATCTGACTGGGCCACGACATATCAAGATTCATGACCGTGACGACGCCGACACGCAAACCCCCTCCCTGCATAGTAAAATTGTGTTTCGTTCTCCATCTAAGCCTAGCCTGTGCTTTCTAGTCAAAGTATCACCAAGCCATGTGGTCCCCAAACCTTGCAGACGACTCAGCTCCCACACCAGCCTTCGCCCTTGAACGCACTAGCGCGTAGGAACGGCACCTCGAGGCCCAAAACCTCGCCCGACTCGGCGTCCTTAACAAACACGATGCGGTCCACAGACTCGGACCCGTAGTAGATCCAATCGACGGCCTCCCACGCCAAGCAGTCGTATGCCCCGACCCCCGCGCCCGGGAGCTCGCTGCTCGACTGCCGCGTCACGTCCCAGACGAACCGCCAGTCCTCCTTGACCACCCGCCTGCCCATGAGCGTCTCCCGAGTCGAGACCTCGGTCGGGTACAGCCGTAGGAGCGAGCCCGGCCGGTAGTTGGGCACGAGCATGCCGTACGTGAGCCCAAACATCTCGAGCAGCGCCGCCACCATGTCCTTGCCGGCGCGCGACAGCGACTGGAGCACCAGGCTGGTGCCGTCCAGCGCCAGCGTCGCCGAGAGGGACGGCCCGCCACCGCACGAGTTTCGGAACGTGCCCGTGTAGCCCAGCTCCACGGCCTGCTCGCGCGCCGCGGCGTCGACGGCGGGGATCAGGACCGACAACATGGCGTCGCTGATGGCTGTCACCGCCGAGCTCGAGTCGCCCGCGGCCAGGAGCACCACCCCCACGCCGTACTCGTCAATGGCCGACATGCGCGCCCGGTAGCCGTACGCGGCGCCGTCCTTGGTTGCTATGGTCACCGTGTGTCCGCCGTGTCCCGTTTTGGCGTCGTATGTTTTGGAAAATAGCGCCTGCGGTGGCGGCCGGTAGATCTCCCAGGGCATTCCGAAAAAGCTGTGCGGGCTTCCCGTAAAGGAGCGCGGCTGTAGCCACTCCCGTACATCGGCCGGGTTATCGAAAATGCAATAAGTGAGTATGGCGTGCAGAAAGCTCGACAGGTCCGAAAGTGAAGACACCAGCCCCCCGCCAGGGGTTGCATCGCCAAAATAAGCCCCCCAACTATTTCCCACTGGCGGGATCGTCGAGTTCCAGTAAGAAAGACCCGGACTCGGATAGGTATTTTTCATTTGCAGGGGACCTGTAATGTACTCGTAGAGAAGCGCCGGATATTCCTGGCCACGCATCAGGCCCAGAGCGTACGAAAGTAGTGTGAAGGCGACGTTGGAGTAAACCGGACGAGACATGGGTGGTGCCACCGGCCGGGCTGCCCTCAAGCCGACAACGTATTCTGCGATCAACCAGTTGCCATGTAAGCCGCGTCCTCAACTTTGGGGCCTCTTCGGCTCCTTATTCTTCTCTATCCCCAAGACTTACGGGGTCGTGAGCAGCCGTAGTTCAATCCTATTACGTCGCACATGAGGTAGTCCGCTGGCGTTATATGTGGAAGTCCGAGAGATTCATAAAATCCTTTGAGTAAGAACGACTCGGATCCACCATCTTTACCCTTGTTAGCTAGTGTCCTTTCCGATGTCGCGCCTCCTTTGGCCCACGTAGGCCCCGAGACTCGCGTACGTACAGTTGGGAGGAATGCCGGCCAAATGGGATGCCAGTCCGCGCAAGGTGATTGTTTCCCATGGAATCTGCGCGGGGCCAGAAAGTCCAGGTATGTACCGCGTGATTGGATCGTCGAGGTTTATCCCACTCCGTATCAACACCGCATCCGTGATGGCTTTGGATATGGAGCCGATCTGATACTGAGAGTTCCTATCGACCCTCCGCGTGCCCAAGAAAGTATTGGAGGCCAGGTGATGGTATTCCCACAAAGGGATGCCCGGCACGGGCTGGTCTTTGGACACGAAGGCGAGAGATATCGTCGTATTGGGAACCTCCCATCCTGCCCGTATCTTCACGCCCGTTGCTGCATCCAGTGCCTCTTGTAGCTCTCGTGTCGCTTTCTGGAATGACTGGGACTTGGCGAGGTTGGGCCGTGGTAGAATCGGGCCATGTGGTCGGCACTCCAGCGCTCCTGCAACAGCTGCTGCCGCTGCTAGGAAGTAACGCCAGTATCGCATTCTGTGCCTTGTCGAAAGGGGTGCTGTCCTGGTCACCCACTCTGTTTATCGCCATGAGGTAGCGGAGCGCCCACCCTCGCGACTTCGAGCCGGATCATGCTCGGGGTTGTCTTGTAGATATAGGCGGCTTTCTGGGGTTTGAATCTGTTCCTCGGAATCAAGCAATAAGTACTCTCGACGGCCGGAAGCAGGGAATCGGAGAGGTTCCCGCAAGCGGCATGAAATACATACAGGAGACGGGGATGCTTCTTCCGACCGAGATGGCTAATATTGTCGTGTCGGTGCGTGCTAGAAGGCGTGTGGGGACAGAATACCGTCCATCAGGAGGCTTATACCGGCGCTCCCATGGTGGACTCTCGGGTATTTCGAGAGGAATCGCGGGTCGGCAGATGCGTGCAGCACGATTAGTCCCTTCTAAGGGAAATGGCGTGCTGGTCTTCGCTGCTTTTGGCTGCTGCTTGCAAAGACAGGGACGATCTGCATCATGGGGGTTATCGCAGATTGGCCCGGCGCGCCCCTTCAGGCGTTTTTGATCTGCCGTGCCAAGGGAGAACCGGGAAAATGGTCTTTCTTCAATACCGACACGTGGGGTCGGCTGGACGGCCGACGCCAATCCCGTCTCGGAAGAATTCCTCTCAACACCGACCAATATTACGAAGCCTAGGAGAGCATAGAGGGGGAAGTCTCAGTGCGGCTGGTGTCAATAGCTGAGAGATGAACGATAGCAGGAACATTATGCTACAAGGCCACGCGCCATCTCGCACATGTTTCGAAAGTAGCCTGGAGTATTGAGCCCATTGGAGAGTCTCGCCATCGACCAAACACTTGTCGCTCTTACAAGTTGGTTTCGAGACCTTTGAACGCGACTAGCATGACGCTGACCAAGCAGCGATAAAGTGATCTGTGGACGATGCTCTTGCAGCAACCAAGTATCAACAGAGTCTCGCTATTCCCATGCATACCAACGTGACTTCTGTTTTACATGGCGCTTTTGGATTTCCAGCTAGATCTGCGTGTCTGCCACCGCAGGGCCAGACGGCGTGGATTAGCCATAGACCTTGGATTAAGCTGTCTGTGATTAGGTATTGCTCTCTACAATGTCCCGCTTCCTACCAGCTATCGTGTACAGACACCACTTACTTCCCACCTGCCTGAGCATGTTGACTTTAAAAAGCAGAGCTCCCATACGAATCCACAGTGCGCCTTTAGTCCGTGGCCAAGATGCTGGGCAACAGTGACTGGGTGTTGGTGCGAATGCCCCATATCCCACTGCACACTGTGCCTGCAAGTCTGCACCCAAAGGAGTTCAAGGTGTAGGCAGATATCAGGAGAGGTAGCTGGTGGGTGAACACTCGACAAAAGAGATGTGGGATCCTGCCTAGAGATGTATATCTGCTGGTACCGGTATCTGCACTACCGGGGATGATGTGCAGTGTTCCTGGAGCACATATTGCCCCCAAGCCTTCTCAGGTCGAGGTTACCCAGGCAGGAACAAGGCGTTTTCAAGGCCACGGCGCTCCTTCCGGATGGCCGAAAGGTTGGCTCCTGGCAAGAGCCCATACGAAGGGAAGATCCAATATCCCTGCCTTGTGGTCGGTGATCGCCAGGGGGCCAGTGGCCACTACGTCAGAATGGACCTGCCAGTCCTCACCTGCACCTCTCGACTCTCGCTCCTTCCTCGAATTTTCGGGTGCGGCGTTCAGACTGGAGTCTTGGTAACCCTCAGGCCCTCCCACAAAATCAAAACTCCCACGCGAGAACTCCCCATCCATGAACCTGAATGTTTTCCAGACCACAACAACGCCACCCGCTCCAACTGAGGCAGCAAACCATCAAGCAGCCATCACGCAAGCACTCGCAGCTACTCTCAAGCACTCGCAGCTATTCTCAAGCTCGCGCGGTTATTCTCAGGCACTGCAAGCAGCGCAGAAAATCATGCCGCACGCAACAGGAATGGAACCATCGGCGCCACCGGTGCCAACTGACCTTGGCCAGACCCAGCCCGTCTCACATCCATTTGTCTTCAGACCTCTCTCCATAGTCTACAACCTTGGTCGAAAGGCGGTAAGCAACTATCTATCTCTCGCACCCAAGGCCTACCGCGATGTCGTCGGCGGACCTCGTATTGCCGTCATCGGCGCCGGCCTCACTGGAGTTACCGCAGCCGCGTACCTCCTCGGCTACGGCTTCAACGTTGTCATCTTCGAGCAGAGCCCGAAGGCCAACATGGGCGGCATTTGGACTGTAAGTGCCATCGAACCCGCTGCCCACTCCCTTACTCCTGCCCTATTCCATCTTTCATATTCCTCAACTTCTGTTTGCGCCGGGGCTCGGCCCAGTAGGGCCTTTGCTCGCCCGCCCGCCGCAACCGCCGCCGCCGCCGCCACCACAGCCGTCGCCACGGCAACAAGCCCGGTCACGGAGGCCGAGACGGCGCTCTAGAGAAGCATCGGTCTCGACCGGCTGCGCGAGCAGCTGGCGGACGAAAGCCTCCGGCCGCCGCCCATGATGCCGCCGCCAGAGTCGCGCGGCCACGTCGAGCTCATCGGGCCCGGCGAGACCCGCGAGCTGGCCACGCGCGTCGGGTCGAGGGCCTGGCGCGCCCTCCGCGGCACGACCGACGCGCCTCCTAGGGCCCCTCCCAGCTCTCCCATCATGTGAGCTCGCGGAGGGGGGCGGCGGCGTGCGAGCCCAAGCAGCAAGACCGCGAGCATGGCTGCAACAGGTGAAGGACACCCGTGTCTACGGCAGCCCCCACCCCGGCCGGCGACGGAATAAGATAATTTCGACACCGTCGCTGCTACTCTCGCGTCAGGGCGTGGATCCAATACTGCTTGCCCTAGCTGTCGTGCTCTGCCCGGACGAGGGGTGCACGTGAAAATTCCATGTCGAGACGAACGCTTTGACGACAAGCAAGCGTTTTATTTCTTTTCTTATTTGCGAGCGCTGTGCATTGTTGAGGGGAGTCTGAGCGGTGCCCTCTGCGACAAATGGGTCCACGACGGTGTCTGCGTGTTCACCTAGCAAGGCTGTCGCCGCAAGCTCGAGGAGCCCTACGTGAGGGCTGCCGGTACAAGCACGAGATGCCCTACGGCAGGGTTGCGGGTACAAACATGAAATGCCCTACGACGGAGTTGCGGTTACAAGCACGAAATAACCCACGAGAAGGCGACCCAGGTCTCGCTGGGCCTGTTCCAGGGCTTGTCTGTCACTAGAGGGGAGCGGCAGCAGCAGCTCAACCCGCAGCAAGGCGGTACTGTGATGGGCAGCCAGGCCTTCGGCGGAGTCGGCTGTGCAATGCTGCAGCCTTACTCGGACATGAACGCGTCCGCTCCAACCGGAGTGGCCGTCGCTGCTGAGTGCCAGCAGCAAGTCTGCGAGCGACAGCAGGAGGATACAGTCACTTTTCACGCGTGGAGCGTTGGGAATTCGGAAGGCATGTTTTGTATCTCTTTTTCATGAATGGTTTTATGGTCAGGCCCCACATCTTCACAATCGATGCGACGGTATGTCAACCCGAGAGTATACAATGAAGTCGTGCTGGTATCTGCGACCATCTATATGGACCGAGCCTAGCGCTTCTTTCCCCGACTCGTACGGCCGAGCTCCTGCACCTTGAGGCGCTTTTGATACCTGTCGCCGATATCGACCGAGGCGGCGCCGCTCCCCCTGGGCCCGTCGGTCGTCTCGAGCGCCCGCTTACGACTCTTGTCGAGCAGGGCCTTGGTGCGGCCGCCGCTGCCGCCGCCGTCCTTGCCCCTGACGAGCCTGTTGATGCGGTCGACGCCCTCGCCCAGGCCCCTCCACTCCTCGCCGCCAAAGTTCATGCGCCCGCCGCCGGCGGCCAGCTTCTCCTTGCGGGCGCGCTCCTTCTTGCCCTCCTGCAGGCGCACAAAGTGCGTCTCCTCGTAGGCCTGGCGCTCGGCCTCGTCGCGGCGCTCGGCGACCGTCTTGACGTGGCGGCCGCGGCCCGCGATATTAGTGCCGATGCTGGGCTGCGCCACGGGCGCGACAGAGAGCTCGTCGTTGACGAACTCGTCCATGGTGGCCGACCGCAGCTGCTTGCCGCGCCGGTCCGCCGTCCGATCGCGCCGGTCCGCCGTCGGCATGGACGTGGGCGCGATCTTGGGCGGCCGGTAGATGCCGTCCTTGCCGCCCGCCTTGCCGCGCGAGCCGGGGCCGTCGTCGCCGTCGTCGGCGCCGGGGGGTCGCACGAAGGCGGCGGGGTTGGGGCGGTACTGAAGGTCGGCTATCTTGGGGCCCGGGGCCTCGGCCGAGTCGTCGTCGTCATCTCCATCACCGTCCCAGCTGTCGTCGTCGGATCCGGACGCCGCGTCGGAATCGGCCTCGGGCCGCTTGCTGCCCTTGGCAGCCGCTGCGCCGGCGGCGGCCTCTGCGTTTTCCTGCCGCTCGGCATCATCCACGGCGCGCAAAACCTTCTCGATCTGATATCGCAGCTTGTCCTCCAGCGGGCGGACGCCCTTTTCGAGATATAGCCTCAGCTCGACCAGCTTTTTGACCACGGCCTCGTTGAGCTCGACGATGGGCCTCTGCCCAGTCCTGGATGCGCCGCTCTTGGCGGCCCTTGTTTTCAACAGGATTAGGAAGACGAGGTTTTGGAGGTATGAGAGAAGCAACTCGTTCTTGACGTCCAGGAGCGATATGCCGTTGTTGGGCGTCCCAAGCGTCGAGAGCTTCGGGGTGGCCTCGAATGAAGACGACAAAGATTGCGCCAAGCTATTGAGGAGAGCCGGGAGGCTCGACGTCGCTGTTTGCGCCATGGGAGCTGTTTCTGATTCTGCCCTCGCCTCGCCTATTCAGAAGAAATTCTGATACTTGTACTCCTAGGAGTTCGCGCTGGCGCGGGACAGAGACTTATGCCGACAGCTCCCGTCTAGAAATGCGCCCGCTGGGAAATTTTTCTGTTATCAGGTTCCCTATCGAGGGTCGTTCCCGCGAGGGGCGGAGCCTGTTCCGTTAGCCTGGTTGAGTGGGTCAGGTTTGGCAGAGATGGGGCAAGGAGTGATTGGCTGGCCGCTTGGTGACTAAGGAAGCATTACGTCTCCGGCGGCAGGGGTGCGACCAACAGCTCAATCCCACCCAGTGAAAGCCAACCTGGACTTTTGACGTGTTCCCGCGACCAGACCAGTTTGATACTGGCAACACCACTCCGACAAACACTATCCAAGCTGTTGGTGGAAATTGAGGCCGCGCGAAGCACAACCCGCTTGTCTGCATTTTCGAATACTTTGTAGGTGAGGATTATTGCCTTTTTTTGAAGCTTGTCCCTCCGGTTTGGGCGGCAGGCAGGCTGCTGGGCCCTGAGCTCGGGCATGGTTGCCCGCCCGCCGCCAGGCACGGACTTCTGAGGCTGCTGCTTCTCTTTGTCTAGCCCCCTCTGCCACAGCTCCCGTTACTCAAGATGGACCATGCGCTGACCGCCAGACCTCAAGCTCCTTCCTGAACTTTCGACAGCACAACGACCTGCAACGATCACAATGCAACTTCGCGATGGCGCGCCGTCGTCGGCGCTGCTCGCGGCTGCGGCCTTGACGCTGCCGCAGCTAGCATCGGCCTTCTACCTCCCCGGCGTTGCGCCAACTTCGTACAAGCCCGGCGACAAAGTGCCCCTCTACGTCAACACAATCAAGCCGATAGCGTCGCCGCAAGACTCGATGTTACATTCGGTCGTGTCGTACGACTACTATCACCCCCTATTCAACATGTGCGGGCCAGAGAACCCCGAGAGCGTCAGCGAGAGCCTAGGCAGCATCCTATTCGGCGACAGGATAAAAACGTCTGTGTTCGAGCTGAAGATGGCAAAAGACCTGAAGTGCAACCCGCTTTGCGCAAAAACGTACGAGCTGGGCTCGGCCAAGTTTGTGAACCGCAAGATCGAGCAGGGATACAGCATCAACTGGCTCGTGGACGGCCTGCCTGCGGGCCAGATGCTGCCAGACGGCATGACTACATCCCCTGAGATGGCAGAGCCTGGCGTCACATACAACAACCAGGGATTCGCGCTGGGGCAGGTGGACGGGACGGGCGTCGCGCAGCTCAACAACCATTATAACATCATCATCGACTACCACAAGGTTAGCGGCAAGGAGGACCAGCTGCGCGTGGTTGGTGTCCGCGTTGCGCCGCAGTCGCTGAACTACGGCGACTCCGTGCCCGACTGCTCGCCGAATCACGAGCCCATGATGCTCAGCGAGGACGGCGACACCAACGTCAAGTTCTCGTACACAGTCAAGTGGGTCGAGTCGCCCACCGTCTGGGCAACGCGCTGGGACAAGTACCTGCGCGTCTTCGACCCCAAGATCCATTGGTTCTCGCTCATCAACTCGTCCGTCATCGTCGTCGTGCTCGTGTCGACCGTCATGGGCATCCTGGTGCGCGCTCTGCGCAAGGACATCGCGCGCTACAACCGCCTCGACTCCATCAACCTCGACGACTTCTCGGGCGCTGACGGCGGCTCCGTCGAGGACGGCGTGCAGGAGGACTCGGGCTGGAAGCTGGTTCACGGCGACGTCTTCCGCACACCCTCGCACCCACTGCTGCTATCCGTCTTTCTCGGCACGGGAGTGCAGCTCTTCATGATGACGGGCGTCACCATCGTCTTCGCCATGCTCGGGTTCCTGTCGCCGTCCAGCCGCGGCTCGCTCGCCACCATCCTCGTCCTGTCGTGCACCGTCCTGAGCGCCGCCGGCGGCTACGTCTCGGCGCGTGTGTACAAGTCGTTTGGGGGCGAAAAGTGGAAGCTCAACATCGCCCTAACGCCCGTGCTCGTCCCCAGCATCGTCTTCGCCGTCTTCTTCCTCCTGAACCTGTTCCTCTGGGCCAAGCAGTCGTCGGGCGCCGTGCCCTTTGGCACGATGCTCGTCATCGTCTCCATCTGGTTCGTCGTCTCAGTCCCCCTCTCTGTCGGAGGCTCTTTCCTCGGCTTCCGCCATGCGGCCCTGGAGCCGCCCGTGCGCACCAACCAGATCCCCCGCCAGATCCCGCCCGCCGCTGGGTACCTGCGCCCGATCCCCAGCATGCTCCTGGTCGGGCTGCTGCCCTTTGTGGTTATCTTTGTTGAGCTCTACTTCATCATGAGCTCCATCTGGTTCAGCCGCATCTACTACATGTTTGGCTTCCTCTTCCTCTGCTTTGGCCTGATGGCTGTGACCACCGCCTCGGTCGCCATCCTTATGGTCTACTTCCTGCTTTGTTCAGAGGACTACCACTGGCAGTGGCGCTCCTTCTTCGCCGCCGGGACCAGCGCCTTCTACATCTTTGGCCACGCCATGATCTACTGGATAGGCTCGCTGTCCCTCGCCGGGTTTGCTGGAAGCGTCGTCTACCTTGGGTACAGCATGTTGATTGCCTTCCTGTTCTTCATTCTTTCGGGTACGTATACTGTCGCCGCTCACGCCCTCTCCGCATCCTCGACTCAGTATCTCAAACAAACCAAAAAAAGACATCATTACTGACACTCCCGCAGGCTCAATTGGCTTCTTCGCCAGCTGGTGGTTTACCCGCAAGATCTACGCCTCGATCAAGATTGATTAGAGCCAGAGACTTATCTGGCGCCGAGCCTGCTGCGGCGGCTCTTGCACAAACAATCACACAAAACTATATCGCTGTACGATTTTTGAAAAACTCAACTGTATGAAATACTAGCCCTCGTTGGCAGCGGACGAGGTGATCTCCCTTCGCGTTTTATGTGGGCCATAGAGAAACGACAAAACAAGGGGGGACATTGGAGTAGCTTTGGCTTGATGGATGGCCTTTCAATTTCGGCGCTGAGCAGGAGGGGCTTCATTTTTTCACAGTGAATGGGCATGGCCTGTCTTTATACTATTTTCCCACATATTTGCGTTCATCCCAGCCGGCGTGCATGTCTGTGAATTCATCATGTTGCCCCAAACATCCGCTAGCTGCCAATGGAGCAAAGAGCACCAATCACAGCCAACATTTGGTTCCCTGCATTAATGGTCCTCACGACGCTCAGCAAACGGACGGAACAGAGAAAATATTAATGCAATGCTAAGATAAGGGCTCGGTATCAATTGTTTCCTGAAATGCACACAAATCGCTGTCTCCCTGAAGGCAACCCAGTTAATGCCGTTGTTTCGCGCCGTGTACACTGTTCTCGGGTAGCTTTCCAGCAAGCACCTCCACTGAATTCAGTCCGAGTTGTCAGAATCGTCGTCGTCGTCGAACGCAGTGAACTGGAACTGCTTCTTGACCGTGGGACTTGCGGAGGTTGGCGACTGGGCGCCGCTTCCGGCGGACCCTCTGAGCAGGGCGTCGCGTTGTTCCATCTCGCGCTGCTGGGCCCTCCGCCTCTCCATCTCCTGCCTGGCGCGCGCCTCGCGCTCGGCCATGGCTTTCCTTTCCGCCTCGACCCGCTCCTCTTCCAGTCTCTTTGCCTCGGCTGCGGACTCGGCCGCGAGCCTCTCCTCCTCTGCTGGGTCGTGGCCCTTGGGATCGATTCCGCGATCAGACAGGGACTGGTTTGCAGCCAGGCCACCCATGCGGATCTGGTCCTCGTGGGGCCAAGGAAGAAAGATGGCGCCAGTGTGTGGGTTCATCCACTGACTGAAGAGCTCTGGTAGCACGCTCTTGTCGTTCCCGGCACTGACCTCGCCGCCGTTGGCAGCACCACCCTGCGGTCCTTGCTGTGGCTGGGCATCGGGCATGGCGGAGTCTTGTCTGGTGTTGCTCGGTGTGCCAGGCGCTGGGGTCCCGACGCCGCCATTGACAACGGCGGACATGGGTGTGGGCGTCGCCGCAACGGAGACAGGACCCGTGGGCGTCTGTGGCACGGGCCCCGCTGGAGTCGATGCGCCAGCATCCTGTCCTGTTGTCAGGATTGCCGGTCCTCCTCCAGGTGTTGTGTCGCCACCGGTCCCATCGAGGTCCACGCCATTGGTGACGCCCGGAGGTGGCAGTGTCGTCTTGCTGATTCGGCGAGCAAATGCGAGTAGCTCCTCAAAAGAGATTGGATTCGGCAGTCGATCAGGGAAAACGGTCGAGGGTGTCGCCGTCATGTCCTTGCGAGTCGACGCCAGCACCTCCAGGGTGGAGCGGATCTGGGCGTCAAGCCCGGCGGTGGTTGCCTTCAACTTCTGTATGCGGAGGACATTGTTTTGGTGTGTTTGGACTGTACGGAAGCAACATGTCAGACAAAGGTCATTTCTCGCTTCCTTAGGCGAGGAATGCCAGATGGTACAATCGTTTGCTCACCATTTTGTAGTCCATCTTGTAGCTCCCTGTCGGCGAGCACGAGATCGCTCACGCGCGAGATGGAGGGATTGTATTTGGATATGGAGTCAATCAGGGCGCCTAAGGCTTTTTCGACACGCTCGAAGCGCGCATCGATGACGGCGTCCATGGTCTCTTAGATGGCGGATTTTCCTCTGGGACTAGAGATAGTCTTAGCGGTGTGTGAAGTGAATGGGCGGTTCGATGCGCCTGCCTGAATGCAAGCTCCTAGCTGAGAAGCGCGAAGGATTCCATCGTTTGATTTTCGACTGTGTAGTTGCGACGATAGCCTTGGTCGAACAAAACGCGGCGCGCTAGGAAAAGAGTTGAAGCGGACAGGAATTGCAGAAGCTCAGGTACCCTCCATCATGCAGCTGCGGAGAGACCCTGGTCAACGGGGAGATCCCGCAATCACGTGAGCCGGAAGGTGCCCCACAGTGTCTGCACCCCCACCCATCCCGCTCGGATTTTGACAGCCTTAGGCAACAAGAATTCTGAATGCCGGCTTCACCCGCCTGTGCGTCAAGTTGCGCGACAAACCTCAGAAGCTGGCAGTCGTTTCGCAATTCCTAGACCCCCATTGAGTCGCCACCAAGCTGTGAAGCTCCTAGATATCAAAATGCTCGGCCAAGTATGTATCACTGCATGACCTGATGCCACTCGCTCTACGCCTTCCCGCAGGATGCCCTGGAACTTGACCTCCAAGCTCCTCGCTTCCCCCTTGACTATGACGAGCCTCGGTTTATACTGACGGGTGGCACCTCTTCCTCTAGCCCGACTCCTACCGGAGCCCCTTCGCTCCTAAGTAAGCCAAGCGCTCCCCGAAGACCACCTATCTAGTTCTGTCGCCGGTGCCGCCTCTGTTTTGTCTGCTCAGTGGACGGCTGTCCGATGGACGACACCGAACGACGAAACCGAACATGGCCCCGGGAGAAATGCACGCCCACTAACCTTCTAACCCGTCACGCAGGTACCACTACCAGCCCAACCTCCATGGCTTCACCATGAAGCAGGCCGTCGGACTGTACGTAACACCCCGACCTAGGCCAATTTGTTTGCAGCTGAGGGGTGCGGCGAGCGGGAACATGATAGATCTGCTTGATGCTGGGCCGCAAGACCCCCACGGAGCGCCTCCATACGGCTTCCTGTCTGGCAGTTGCGGGTCACAATTCTCGGCTTGCGGTGACAAGGTCTCAAAGAATAGAGGCAGTGTAACTAACATATCGCTTTCGATGGTAGTGGCGTGAGGGCAGGTGGATTCGGCGCTGTTGCCCTGGGCGCTGTCATTTTCTTTGCCTCAGGTATCCCGAGGGTCCAGAAGGACGTTCTGGGTGTATGTCTTTACTTGAACCATTTTTTCTGAGCACCACCGGGCCGCCTGGACTTTTACTGACACCGACTGTGCATGCAGATCTTCCCCCCGCTGGCCAAGTACTACCACAAGGAGATCCCTGCCTCGGATAACGTGAGTCTACGGGAGCTAGTGTTCTCGGCGTTCAACCCTTTTCTCTAAGTTGTTGCTAACCCCTTTATGTAGCCGTTTTAAACTCTCGCATGGCTTATGTCGCTGGGGGAAGAGAAGACGAGATTTAGAGGCTAGAGTGCAAGCAAGCGAGAAGGTATAAAGCGCTTCCGGATCAATAGACCTCATCCAGACTTCACGCAGCTGGAAGGCGATTCCCAAGCATGTGTATGCCCCTCTGTCTTGATGGAACAATCGCTACGGCTCATCGATCACATGTCAGGCCGGGGTCCAGGGCTAAAGTGTCTAGCAGCTGCGACAACGGCCATTTTGATATTTCTGTGTTTGCTGTTGTGCTGTGCTACTGTTCTGCTGTTTCATATAACAATTTAGAGCCATTATTCTTATTCAGAGACTAATATCATCCGCGCCCAATTGGTTATTGGTCATTCTCTCATGGTAAAGGGGTGGACAGGCAGTGGTTTGTATGGTCCGTGCTCTTTCCCTTTTCAGAAAGACCACTTCACCACCAAACTCGACTCCAACTCCACACCTGCGACTCACCAAACCTGCCTGCACGACGGCAAAAGTAGTATAGGCCGCGAGCTTGTGGAAGCATTGGTGAAAGCACCTTCTTTTTCCTCTCTTCTTACCCCCCACTCACTCCCTTGTCTGCTTTTCGTTATCTTCCTTCATCCGCATCCCAGGAAATGTTTACCCATTAAACCATCCCAGTCATTCCTTTTCTGTATCTTCCCGCTCGGCGCGCGGCCTTCGTCGCCATGGACCTGCCACTCTTTGGCCTTGTGCCCAAGGCCAGCCTCAGTATCGCTCTGGGCGTGGTGATCCACTCTCTCATCACCATCGCCCGCAATCCCCGCGGGGCCTGCATCCCGACGCTCTTGTATCGGGCTTGCCTGGTTCTTCTCTTGGTCCTGCCTGCCATCTGGCTGCGCGTGGTGAACTCGAATGTCGTTGAGCCGTATCTGGTAAGATGCTCAAACAGCACTCTTCCGCCCCTACAACACGTCTTCGATGCTAACTCGCGAGGGTAGGACGAGGTGTTCCATGTTCCCCAGGCCGTGCGCTACCTCGCGGGTAGATGGCGCGAATGGGATGACAAGATCACCACCCCGCCTGGACTGTAAGCGCCACTACCAATTTGATGGTTTGATGTGCAATTTTGGCTGACAGGCTATCACGAATAGCTATATCATAAGCTATCTCATCCTTGATAAGCCGGGCTTGATTCGGAGCTTCATCTGCGGCTTGGTCGGCGGCTTTGGCTCCCTCGAGAACCTGACTGCGACTCTTCGCGAGACCAACGCCTTGGCCATCTTTGCTATTGCGTACTTTGTTGCGGAATGTCGCCAATATCTGGAGCACCGAGCGGCTCCGGGGAAGGAGAGGCAGCCTTTGGCTCCCTGGCCCTCGCTCTACGCGCTTCACTCGGGCTTCAACGTCATCATGTTCCCCGCCATCTTCTTCTTCTCGGGCCTCTACTACACAGATCTGTGGTCCTTGGTGGCGGTCCTGAACGCGTATAAGATACACCTCGACCGCGTCGCCCACGCCCGAGATGGGTTGTCGGTTCGGCGGGTCGCCATGGCTCTCTGCGCCGGCATCCAGGCCCTTGCCATGAGGCAGACCAACGTGTTCTGGGTGGTCGTCTACCTCGGAGGCCTCCAGGCCGTCGATGCCGTCAAGTCCCTGCCGGCCTCTGAGCCCTCTCAAGATGACGCCAAGACTACCTCTCAGCAAGGCCCGCCGGGAACTCGTTTCGAGGAAGTTCTCAGGACCTCACCATACGCCTATCTTCGGTACTGGGCAGCTGGAAACATCCACGACCCGTCACTAGCAGATGCTACATTCTTCGGTACGAATCTTCTCTTGCCTGCCTCGCCCGTCGTTCGCCTCACGATCTAGTATAGCACTTGACTAATATTGAACGCTCGAGTATAGATATGATTCTGCTGGCGACTAGTCTCGTCGTTGCTGTCTTGTGCAACCTTCCTCGAGTTTTGGCGCAGGTCTGGCCCGAGGTTCTTGTCCTGGGAGTCTTTGGCGGCTTTGTAGCCTGGAACGGCGGCGTCGTGCTTGGTCAGTATCTGCCCCGTCTTGAAGGCGTGATTGTTCTAGCTAACAGTTTGCTGTATATGTTCCCCCGCAGGCGACAAATCAAACCATGTGGCCACCATCCATCTGGCTCAGATGCTGTACATCTGGCCCCTCTTCGTCTTCTTCTCCGCGCCACTCCTTGTCGGCTACGTGATACCCGTCCTGTCGTATCTCTACCGAGTGGCCAGCCGCCTTCCCTGGAACATGCGCAAGCAGCCCATTAAGACTGGCGTCTACTTGCCTTGCCCGTGCGGTGTCCAGCACTCCCTGTCGCCTCACATCGCCTGGTACCGCTGCAAGACGGCGATGTCGTACCTCTTGGTGGGCGTCTCGCTTGCCATGGCCGCTGGTATCGTCCACCTGAACACCATAATCCATCCATTCACGCTGGCGGACAACAGGCACTACATGTTCTACGTCTTCCGGTACACGATCCTCAAGCACCCGGCGGTGAAGTACCTGCTCGTTCCGGTCTACGTCATTTGCCAGCGCCTCTGCTGGCAGCTTCTTTGCGGATGTTCCCACCTGGGCTTGGCCGAGACTACGTGCCACAGTTGCCCGCTGCGCTCCTTCAACTGCTCGGGTGCGGTTCCTGAACGTGTGCACTCCTATCACTCGAGCCCCTCTAGCCCTTCGAAGGAGTCTGTCGCGTCGAAGAAGAGCCCAGCGACCGACGACAACGCAAAGAAACCCGTCGGCCCTCTGGCGAAGGAGGCCAGCAAAGACGTAGTCGCGCCCGACACGCTACAGGGACCGAGCTCCGACTCGCAGCGGAGCGCCCAGCCGCTGTCCACAGCCCTCCTCTGGCTGCTGGCGACGGCACTCTCGCTCGTGACGGCGCCCCTGGTCGAGCCGCGCTACTTCATCGTGCCCTGGGTCATGTGGAGGATGCTCGTGCCGGCCTGGAGGCTGCACGACTGCAGGGACGACACGCCGCTGGGCCCCTTCTACCACGGCAGCGACGGGGCCGGCGCCGGCAAGACGGCGACGGGCCGCCGCGGCCCACTGGCTGCCCTCAACTGGCTGGGTCAGAGGGTCGACCTGCGCCTGTTCGTCGAGACGGTGTGGTTCACGGCCATCAACGTCGTCACCATGTACATGTTCATCTACCGCCCGTATGTCTGGAGGGACGCGGAGGGTAACGTGTTGGACGAGGGTCGCCTGCAGCGCTTTATGTGGTGAAGCGTAGGCAGGGGGGAGAGAATGGGATTTCTTGCGCTTTTTTTTCGACCTATGATATTGGCTGCTCCGGGGGGCAAGAGGCTACGACAGTTTTCGGTCTATCAGATGTCGATAGGCTTACGCGGTGCTTTACTGTTTTCAAGTTCGCTCGGATATAGCATGCTATAGCGTGTAGAGGTAGGTACCATCTGCCGAAGTACACATGCATCTAGCTTACCTGGATACCTCCTGGCAACGCTGGGTTGGTTGGGGCACATCTCAAAACAATCATTCCATGCAGGACTGCTTTTGAGGGAGTGTTTATAACGACGAATGAGCGAGAAAGTACACAAAGCTACCTTGAAGGTTCAGACAGCAGGCATGAGTCACCCGTTAGCTGTCTGCAGGCCGCCGTGGATGCAAGGCATGCTGTAGGCTTTGCTGTATGCAGCCACAGAGACGCGCAACAGACGCTTGGCGACGTGGAGCAAAACCAGGCGCGCGCCAGGGTGACAAGGGCTTGCCCTGCCAGCTAGCAGCGCACTAAACGCATATGCACGTTTCGGTACAGCATGGTTTGGCTGACGAAAAGCCAGCATCGACAAAACCATAAATGAGATGTTGAAAGGGCAGCTCCACTGTCTCTTGATCCCCTCATTGGGAGAATCAATGTATTCCACGGCGGGGTGTGTTCGCCCAATTTGCCACTTGGGGGAAACATACTCCTGCCTGGTATACCTATCTAGGGGCGTTCTAATAGCCTAGTGAGGTTTCGCCTGCCACTGATGTGGTGGGCAGATACCTCGCTCCTCCATGTGAACCCAGCGAGTCTGGCTGTGGGCTAAGCCCCGCGGGCTATCGTCCTTCTCAAGAAAAAAAAAAAGCAATGCACGCCCGAGTGCCATCCTTCGTAAATCGTCCATCCCTAACAAATGCAGTGGACCCTTGTGGTCCCCGTTCCCTATGCTGTAAACGCCATGATCTCGGAAGAAAAAAACAGTCCGCGGCACGCAACAAACGGCCGGCAAATGAAGCAGCCCCCACCTAGCTCAGCTCTCTCATCCCAAGTAGCATCGAGGCTGGTGTTGGGTTGAGAAAGGGGGAAAGGTGGTGGCGAATGTGAAAGAAAAGTCCATCCTGTCTATCAACAGAAATCGGCCCATCCTCAGGGTGGGTTGGGAAGAAGAGGAATAGAGAGAAAATGCAACGATGACAAGCCCGAATCTGAGCGGGAAAATCCCAATCGACAGTACTTTTGTTTTATCCCTTCCCTCCTGACATAGCAAATTTGCCCACAGCCAGCTCGCAGTCCCTTCGGGGGGGCGCCTCATAAGCTCAGCTTGTCGAGGCTGAGGCGGTCGTTGCTGCGCACGCGGCGCATGACGCCCAGCTTGAAGAAGCGCTCCTCGCCGGCGGCGGTGCGGCCGCCGATGTACCACTTGTCGGCGCCGCGGACGTTGCGGAAGCCCTCGGTGCTGCTGTCGCTGCCGCGGCGGCGGCTGGGGCAGGGGATCGGGACGGGCGAGTGGGCCGGGGAGCCCTGCGGCGTCGCGGGGCCGCCCGCTGCTGCTGCCGCGGGTGCTTGCTGCTGTTGTGATGGTGATGACGACGGCGCGGCCGACTGCTGCGCGCTCCTAACGGCCGCGGCGGCTGCGGCGGCCGTCGTCGCTGCCGTGGCCGCGGTGGAATATGAGGAGGATGTGGTCTGCTTGCTCGGCTGTGATGTGGTGGTTGCCAGGCTGGGGGCGGCGGTCTGCTGGCGGAAGGCGGCGAAGACGGTCGAGAGGAAGAAGGGTCGTTGTGACGGCATGTTTGCTGATCTGGTGGGGTTGATGTTGGGTGTTTGGGCGCCCCGGTTCTTCTCGATGGTGGACGATGGACCACCCAGACTCCTGATTCTGGTCCTAGATCATAAATCTCTGCCCCCTCTTACTTTCGTCCCGTTTTGGCGGGGTAGGCGGTTTCTTTATAGTATCGATTGTGTTTTTGCCGTTCGTCTTCTGTTCGTGTTTGTTTATTTCGAGTCGGGCGTGCTTTCGCCAGAGAGGGGAGAAAAAGCAAAAACGGGTGGTGGGATGAACCCAGACACGCTTTCGCCTTGGACTGGTTGTGAGTGGATGGGCCAGGCTCGGGATTCACTGGATTCACTCGCAGACCCCCCGCAGTCGTTGGGCGATCAGAACGACGCACGAATATGTACTGTCGAGAGCGCCGAGCGAGTCGCTCCACCACACCCCCAGGTGCCCGTTGGCTTGGCCCACGTTTGGCTTGGCGGGCGCGTCCGAGTCGCAGGGTGGATGGGTATGAGTGCAGAGTGCGTACAGCAAGCCCACCGCCTCGGCTTGCGCCAACCAGGCCCGTCCTGGGCTCCGGTGCAGCGGGCGGGGAGAGGGGACGGAGACAGGGGGGTGGACGAGTGCAGGCTGCCGCAGCGGTCTCGGTGTGGAGATTCGGGCTAGTTGTCGCGCACGTGAAGGCAGGAGGCGGTTCGGCGTCAAGGATTGCGAGTTGTTTTTATGAGGCTGGCGAGTCGTCCACGTTGTGGTTGTTATTTGTTGTGGTTGTGACTCTTGTTGTTGTTGATGGTGGTGATGTTGGTTTGTTTTCCTTGTCGGGTCGGGCTGTCGGCCACGAGCAAGAACCGAAGTAGTTGATGGGTACAGTGTAGGTATCCAGTTGTGGAGACGGGACAACGGGCGGATGGATGGATCGGAGATGACGATGCATATTGAAAATCTTGACGCTGCTGGGCTCGGCGGCTAGCTTGGTTGGCTGTGTTCGCACGGTTCCGGCGGGCTGGCACGAGTTGGCACGAGCGCCCTCTCGGCCAAAGTCGGGATGGCGGGTGCAACCGTAGGTGTCATGTCACCATTGCCATTGACCAAGGCCCCTACTTCTTTGTGGTCAGGTATTGACGGGAATCTCCCGACGCAACCACAGCGAGGACTCCCCTCGACGCCATGGAACCAAGCACGCCCCAATGTGTAGCGTAATTTAATGCAGTGTCATGTAATGCCAACACTGCCATAGGTCAAGACCGTAGTCAGTATCCATGTCACTCACAGCAGCTGGTGAGCACAGCCGATGCCTCCATCTCAGCTCCCCTCTATTGCATGCATGACTGTCCAGGGGCCCTCCCCACATCGCTGTTCATGTTCACTGAGTGGCCCAGTCTGCAGTGAACCCTCCACTCCTATTGAATCTGGTGTGGCCACCGACCTAGCCTTGTGCAAAAAATGGCCTGATTTACCGAATCCTCCAGCCGGCTTTGCAAAAGATCCAAGGCCAGCCAGTGCCAATCCAAGACTGGACATAATAAGACCGGGCAACCAAGGGCACATGCTCACCTGTTTCGAGTAAGTGACTACCAGCCAAGACTGCCGCCTGCGACCCGATGCTACTCTTTGGCGGGGGTGGGGTCTAGCGTATGTGGGAATGGTCATTGTCCGATCTGGCAGGGTCACACGAATGCCATCTCCCGTTTGTAGCACGTGATTGCCATTGGATTCAGGGTTTCTTTGCGGGATAGAACCTATTGTCCATCGAATGCTCTGCATGCTGCCCAAAAGTTTCACGAAAGGCCGCCGCCTTGATAGGTAGTGAACTCCCTACAAACCATTCACAGACGTGATGGATCATTCAAACAAACCCGCGGTTGTTCCCAAGAAAGAGCCACTTCACCGGCACAGCCGAACTGAATTGAACCTGCTTGACCCTTGACAGACTCTAGGCAGTTATGAATATATCTATCCTTTGGAGAGCTGCTGGAGACATCTACTACGAGGCGAATGACCACACATAAATATCCGTTTCCTGACCTCCCGAGAGACTGCTGGTGTTGCATCCTCACGCTTCTCAGGAGATCTCTACGAACAAGATCAAAAACAGCAACACTCTCCCTCAGCCCTGCTCGACTATCGTGTCAAGATGAATCTCCTCTTGCTCTTCTCCGCCTTATTCTTCTTCGCAACCGAGGCCGTTTCAGGCATTTCCACCAGAACTGCGCTGGCTCGTCGCTCCTTCTTCACCACCTGCAAAGATGTCCGCACCAGCGGAGTTTTTCTTTTCGCGACCTGTGACAAGAAACCAGGAAGCGACCCCAAGTCCATCCACTCGTATCTGGACCTCAGAAATTGCCTGACCCAGTTCAACGGCACTTTAGCCCCTGCCACCCAGTGAGTTCAACATAACACCTTGAAGCGTGTTGTTTGGCTCACGGCCGAGCTATACCTTCCGCAATGACTGCGCCACGGCTAACCTCTGAGGATATCAAAAGCCTCAAGGGACAAGGCCTCGACCAGGTCACAGCATGCGCGATGACATCCGGAAGCACGAAGTTAACTTGCTCGGTGATCCCGCAATGCGCCGGCTGTCAGAATCAAACGAACCCCCTCGACCTGGGTGAGTTTCAATATCCTTATGATATTGACACAAATGACGATGAAGGAATTCTTGTCGACTTTTGACGACGCCGATCATCTAACGGTGCCAATCTTGCAGAGGGGATAATCCATAACAACGATGGCCAGCTCGAGTGCAAGCAGGAGTAAATAGCGGGAGAGTTGGGGTTGGGTGGCTTATGGCCTCGCCTAGCCGGATTTTGTGTCGCCAACTTTAGGTATCATTTAACCTGGGATTCTTTTTGGAAGGAAACTAATAAATCCTAACAGCCATTGCCTCGGCCGTGGGTTAGTCAGGCTCGTGTGGCGTTGAAGAGCGGGCCTGGAAGAAATCCCACGTTGTGCTTTTGGAAACAACTTTGGTGACTAAACTCAGCTGTCCTAAGATCTTACAGTTCTTGAAAACGACCCCTTTGGGCTCCGATATCTAGTACAAATCCCAGAAACAATGTCTGTGGCGTCCAGGCCTCTAAGAGGCTCGCCGATAAAATGCAACAAGGAAGGCAAAAAAGAAGAAGACAGTGCAAACAAGGCCACTCGTCGAACCTGCCCGGATGACCAGCAGAATCCCTGATCGGTCAAGGCAGGGACGGAAAGGCGAACTCTGTGAGGGTGGCGGTCGCTACTCCTCATCCTCCCACTCGGCCGCGTCCTCCTCGAAGGCCTCGGCGGTCTGCTCTTCGGCCTCGTCCATCTTCTCGACCTCATCCTGCTCGGCGACCTTCTTGTAGTGCGGGCTGCCGCCCCCCAGCACAGGGACGCCGCCCGAGACAACGGGCACAACGGCACCCCCTGGGACGACGGGCACAGCATCGCCGGGCCCGTCCCGTATGCACCGGAGACGACTCCGGGACCGTATGCGCCGGGGACGATGCCTGGCCTGTAGGCGCCGGGGACAAAGCCTGGGCCGAATCCGCCCGGGCCAACACCAGGCCCGTACGCCGCCGCCGGGACTATGCCGGGCCCGAAAGCGCCGGGAACGACTCCGGGACCGTACGCACCCGGGACGATGCCGGGCCTGAATGCACCAGGAACGACGCCGGGTCCGTATGCGCCGGGGACAACTCCGGGACCGTACGCACCCGGGACGACGCCAGGGCCGAAGGCGCCCGGACCGACGGGCACGGCGACGACGCCGCCAGCTGGGACGGCAGGCACGACGACACCGCCGGCGGGGACGCCACCAACTCCACCAACCCCACCAACCCCACCCGCAGACCTGGGGGCCAGCGGGGCGCCGGGGATGGGAGCCGCCGGGACGCCGGGGACGGGAGCCACGGGGATGCCGGGCTGCGGGGCGATGAGGGCGCCGGGCTTGGGAGCCACCGGGACGGCGGGGGGCGGGGGAGGAGGCGGGACATCGGCAGGCTTGGCCTCGGCCTTGCCCTTCTTGCCCTTCTTCTTCTTCTTGCCCCTCTCCTCCAGGAGGTTCAGGTCGTCGACCGTGGCGTCGGCGGGTAGTGCGGCGCCGGTCTGCGAAGAAGAGGAAAAAGAGGTTAGAAACCTTGTCGGTTTATCCAAAACAAGGGCTTGAAACAATAAACTTACAGCAGCATCTCCAGAGCGGAGCGTCAAGTCGGCAGCGGCGTCCCGGCCGCGAACTTCAACGGGAACAGCAAGGGCTACCGCGACTGAGCATGTGAGGCCGATGGTGGCGAGGCGGGCGAAGGATGGGATAAGCATCTTGAAGGGCTGGTTGGGGGAAGGCGAGCGGATGGAGAAGGTGGCAAACAGAGGAGTGCTGTTGGTCCTGTTTCTGTTGCTGTGTTGTGTGTGTCTAGGTCTTTGCGGGAGTGTGTGTTTGGTGTTGAGGAGATATTTTGGATCAGGAAGAAGGTAGCGAAATCCAGACTTATTTATGCCTGCCAGTTTCCCGTATCATCAGTATCTCGATATAGGTCCTAGGCAGGTGCGCCTAGTCAGTCTCGGCGCGTGCCATCTTCGCCAGAGATTATCGTTGCCATCATGGATCCCTCAGCGCGGATTCCCGATGAGCTGATCAACATGCTTGCAGAGCAGAGATGGGGCGAACGATGGCGGCCCTGCCGGACCCAAATTTGGACACTCCCTGGCTGGGAAACACTTCGGATCGTCTCCAGGTTCACACCGCGCGGGGACCCGATCATAACCCTATCCACAATAGTCTTAGTCGACATAGGGTTGAGGGGTGCTCGCCCTCCCGCTGTGTTGTTTTTAGTTCACCGAGAGTATATTCGAACACGACATGAGACCTTCGGCACTGCCCGCGAGGAGGCTGACGCAGGCCTCGGGACATCCCCTCTCGACATGCGAGGTTATCTGGGGAGGGGCACACAAAAGGGGCGAGTGGCGACGATGCGGTGCGGTCTGCCGCTTGCACATAGCCGCTCTCCCTCCCGCGCACCTCCCACGCACCCGGGGGGAGGAGGCACACATGTATCGCCTGGGTGCTCCCGGCCTGCATTTGCTTACTGAAAGCTGCGCATAGCCCGTGCTCTGACCTTGCAGGCTTGTCAGCGCCGTTGAGCCATTCCATGTGTTGCCGCGCTGTGGTTTCCCTCTCCCTCACTGCCTTTCTGGCCGCGTTCAACGGCTCGTGTTATTGTTGCCGACCCCCTTCCTTGGTCAGGGACGCATACCGCCCCTGTCACCAGGGCTCTTCTGCAGCGCGCGCGAGCCTCCTCGCTGACGGTGCAGTCCAAAAGGACGACTGGGTATGGCCGAGGTGGATGACTGGGGCCGCTGCAGCGACCGTGGCCGATAGAGTTCGGTCGGGCGTGTGGATGCTTGCGCAGGACGGATTTGTGAGCATGAGATGTCCGTTGCTAACGGTTGGGTACCATCGTCCAGTGTCTTCCAGGGTCGCTGGGTCGGCATTTACACGCCAGACACTAGCTGTGGCCGAGGACGAAAGGGACTATCTGAGAAACGTACGAGGCTGGAGGAGGTTGGGCAGATAGTATTCGGATTCCGAACATGAGCCCCCTAAAAAAAGAAGCGGCTGATATCAACTGATATCGACCGTAGCAAGAAATGGCAGTAGCATGACTCCGGGGGTCGTCGGGTCGGTATGGGTGATGATCTGGGAATTGACGCGTGGATTAACTCTACCAATTGGCCAGTACAGGCCAGAATAGAGGCGTAGTTGGCATGGGCACTCCCGGTACCGTTAATTGCAATATCCCCGAAGAGTCCGTGGCCTAGACACTGGCTCTCAGATACACCCAGTCCGTTATTGGCGCAGGGGAAGCACTTTCGTCACATGTCAGAGCTTGAGTTCTCGTCATTGAATGCATTCCAATTGCTACGCTATGAAATATCCCGAATCACATTATCATACAAGTCTCGCGTGTTTCTGCGGTCGCCAAATGCTACTAGGAGGTGTAGTTTGTACCGGCCACACCCGACTGAGTGCCAGACGACAGCTTGTTGTACTCAACCTCCTTGACCGCGTTGTTTCCAACCGTGGTCTTGGCGGGAGCCTGACCCTGCTCCTGAGACCGGCTGTAGCTCGGAGGGTTTCCCTCGGTCGGGCCGTGTCCGGGAGCCTGCGCAGAGGTGCCCGTCGGAGGGGCGACGTGGTCGCCCTCTAAGCTGCGTACCGACCTCGGCGTCCCGCCCACGATCCCCGAAGACTGGCCCCTGATGCCCGTTCCTTGAGGGTACTTGTCGCTACGGCCCGAGGTGTTCTTATCATGGGTGTAGGACGTCTCGGGCTCCTGTACCATGCCGCCCTGGTTTGAGACGGCATCGCTAGTGATCTTGCCAGCGTCGCCGTGCGCGGGTTTGATCTCCTGCGTAGCGGCTTCTAGTCCAGGGCTGCTGTGCGGCTTGTACGTCTCGGTGCCGATGATCTTGACGAAGTCGGTGCTCTCGGTGCGGTTGGGCATGTGTCCGGCAAAGGGGCCCCTGCCCTCCAGAGCGGATGGCTTGTTTTCTTTGGGCGCGATGCTGGCGGTTGTGTCCATTTTCTTCCCTGGCCCGGAGCCGGTAGTGGCCAGCAGCTCCGACTCGAGAGCACGCTTGCCATCGACAGCTACTGGGTTCGCGGCGGCCTCGGGCGATTTCCCGGCCGCAGCGATCGAGTCCTTGACAGGCTCGGGAACATCCGAAGCTGGAGGAAGAGTGTTGGCCTGTGTATCCTCTGTGGCCGCACCGGTCGCGGCGTTGTAGGCTGCCTGGGCGGTGCTTGCAATGGTGGCAGCGGCCGTGGCGACTCCAGCGTAAGCAGTGTTGCCTGCCGTGGAGGCAGCCTTCACCGTCTGGTCCCTCACAGCAGGATAGTTCTCGACGACACGGCCCTTGGCCCAGGTTGCGTTCTCAGCAACCGCGTCTCGGGCGGCGGGGTAGTTCTCCACCGCCCTGTCCTTGGTCCAGATTGCGGCATCTTTGGCGGCAATGCCACCGGCCACAGCGGCTGTGGCAGCGCCCTCGCCAACTTCCTGAGCGAGCTCCGCAGGCTTGACGGTGTCGTTGACGGGCTTGTCTTGGTCGCTCACAGGGCTCCGCTCACTAGGCACCGAATTCTGCTGAACTCCCTTGAAGCGATCGGCGGGGTTCTCGTCATGGCGCGGGATGCGCTGGTGGAGGCCAGTCGAGGGAGCGACGTTGCCGGCCCCAGTGTCGGTCTGACGAGGTGGCACAGGGTAAGATGGGACAGCGGTACTGATGGCCGTGGGTTGCGAGTCTCCAGTTATGGCCTGAGGAGGCGGCGTGGGGTGGGTTTCGATAGGGCTGCTGGTCGCCGCAGGCTGCGAGACTCCAGTGGTGGCTTGACGAGGTGGCACGGACCTGTTGGCCTCCGCAACATGTGAGTCGCCGATGAAGTCACTGGGCACGGTAGAGGTTCCAGGCGTCGGAGGGAAGGCCCCCGGGATGGCATGTTCGCTGCCACCCTTCCGTTGGGTTTCGGCCTCGGAGAGCATGATGTTTGTGCCAGTGTTCAGGTCCGCCATGTTTGCGTCGTCGGGTCGCGTAGAGGTGGGAAGAAGTTCTCTAAAATTCAGGAAACCGGTATTGTAGAGGGATAATCTGGCAGAGGTCTAAGAAAGGATTCAAGTTGCTGGGTTGATGTGGTCTATCTCCAGCACAAAAGGTAGGGAGCTGAGAGGTGCTGTATAAATGTAACTGCCATGGATGCCGTCATAGTCAGCCGCGGACAAAGGACCCTGGCCCTGGCGCCCAGTGACGCAAAGCCCCGGGACGAAAATCGATGACCCAGCTATGATGATCGCTCATGTGCCAAACAAGGGCTGAGCCGCGTCACTGGGAGCACCAGGGAGCTGGCGGGTATGACGTTGGTGACCCGCTTTTTCGTCGGCATCCAATAGACGGAGTTCACAACAGCGCAACAAGCACAAGACTTTACGCTCTTTATCAGCCCATGGTGATCGGCCCGGGGTTTTGCGGCGTCACACCAGAGCCCAATCGTCTCAAAAGTAGCTGGAATACTTGTTAGATTAGAGTTGCCAAGTGAAAAGCGGCGTGAACCAAGCACCGCTGTGTGGTCTCGGCCTGGAATTAGAACGTGGTGAGCGCCACAACCGAGAATGCATGACCTCACCATTTACTGGGGCTCGATGGGATGCAAAGGCGACGCATGCGCTTAGGAGGCAACATGGGCACACCCAAATCCGCCCCTCGGAAGACAGTCTTTGGTACCGATTGTTTGTGAGGTTAGGGATAGATGCATCCTACGAGGTGAGACCTACGAGGAGGGAACCACCCGCGGACTAGACTACCCCTCGCCGCCGTCGGCCCACACCACAATGTTGGCGGGCGGGTCGGGCATGTCGGCGAAGAAGCGGCGGACCTCGTCGTCCTCGTAGCGCAGGCTGAAGTGGATCAGCACAAACGTGGTTGCGGGCCAGCGCCGCACCACGGGCTCGAGGTCCGTCCAGATGGTGTGCTTGGTCTTGTCGGCCTGCGCCCGGTGCCTCTCCTCCAGGAACGAGCACTCGGTGATGACGACGGGGATGCCCCCGCGCAGCCACCGGCCCCACTGCGCCGCCGATTCCGTGCTGCTGCTGCCGTCGCCGTCATCAGCCGTCGTCGTTACCGCCGCCGCCGCCGCGAGCACCTTGGCCGTCGTGTCGCCCAGGAACGCAAAGACGGGCGTCGAGTGCGGCGCCGTGACGTCCACGCCCGCCCGGCGCAGCGCCTTGAGCTCGGCCGCCCCGAGGCCCTGGTGCTCGGCCTTGAGGCGGCGCGACGTCTGGCTGAAGACGAAGCCCAGGCAGGGGGTGGTGTGGTCGCAGTCGAACGCCGTCGCCGTTATGGTCCTCGCTCGCGCTAGCGTGACCGTGTCGCTAGCCCTCAGGCCGCTCGTGACGTGGGTGTCGAGCCGTGTCGCGCCGCGGGGCCTCTTGCCCTTGCCGTCCCACTCTCCATCCACTCCCTCCTCCTCCTCCTCTTCCTTGGGCCCGCCTGCCCCGCCGCCTAGGCCGTGGTCGGCCGTGTCGCCGCGAGAGTTGAGGATGGTCTTGGCATTGATGAAGGCGTCCACCTTGCCCGCGATCTCGACGGGGCAGTAGATGTCGGGCCTGTCGTCGCGGTCCACAAAGGCCGGGACCAGCAGCGTGTGGTCGCTGTGGCCGTGTGTGAGGAAGATGTGCTTCGGCCGCACCTTGTTGACGCACAGTCCGGCGTCGAGCAGCAGGTTCAGCTGCGGGATCACAAAGGACGTGTGCCACGCCGCGCGCGAGCGGCCCGTCAGCACGTACTGCGAGTGCGGCTTGGGGAACTTCCACTCGAGGATGTCGGACCGTGGCGACTGTGGCAATGGCGTCGCAAACAGTGCTTTTGCTGCTGCGGTCGTCGTCGGCCCCTTTTCACCGTTTGGGATGGTGGCCGTGGCCGACCCCCCACCGTCTGGCATCTTGCAAATGTTCAGGTGGCACTGGTGGATAGTGAGAGTAGTGCCCCTCTTGTGTAGCCCCTCGTCTTGCCGCCGCCGCAAGCTTGGTGGTGGTGAAAAGTTTTCGGTGCGGACTTTGAATCGTTCAAGATAGCGTATTCGATCTGAATTGTTATTCCAAGCTGTAAATCAAACGTACAGCTTGAGGGCACTCCGCGAAAAAAGAAAAAAAAGAAAAAAACTTCGGCGCACGCTTGTAAGTCCAGTCCAGCTCCCTGCAGCCACTCGATCCTGGGCAAGCTTCGGGGTCTATCCATCACTGTGTGTGGATCCTGTAGAAGATCCTCAATCAGAACATGAACATATTCAACACGACCACAGTATGATAGTATGATAATATCAATAATGGGCACCTGGATCGATCATGGATTTAACAACAAAGATAGCTCAACGCCCAAGTGAGAGCGCATCGTAGTAATAAAGCAGTGACATGGCATGTTTATAGTGGTATCGTGCGACATCTACTTCATCGTTGATAAAAACACTCTCTCGGGTAGGCTTGTGAGACGATACGATATAAGCCAAAAAGGTAGCCAAGTGATATGAAATTCACGGAAACCGATTCTCGGTAGGCCAAAAAAAAACAAGGTAAACATGGCTGAAGAAAAAGCGCCAGAAGATAGAGAAGACTTTGTAACAAGGGCCAATTAAACCATCTTTGCATTGTCGCCGTCCTTCTTAAGCGGCGGGCCACCCTGGACGTCGTCGTACTCCTGGCTGCCGCTGGCCGTGTCGTGGGGCCGGTCTGAGCCGTCGTCGTAGGCGACGCGGAGGTCCTCGATCTCATCGCCGACCTCCATCCAGCGGTCGCTCGTGGCTGGGACGGGGGAGAAGCGGCAGCACAGGTAGTAGACGCCCGCGGACACGATGAAGCCGGCGAAGAAGTTGACGCGGTAGATGTAGGTGGCGCCGATGGGCACCTCGCGCCCGATCTGGCCGGCGAACCCGACCACGTTGATGAGGATGCCGGCGATGTAGGCGGCGTACGCCCGCCAGTGGATGCCGTAGCTGAAGTAGTAAGGGCTCGTCTTGCGCGCCGAGTACAGCTCCTTGACCTCGAGGTAGCCACAACGGACAAACTAACGGGCACAAGTGCGGTGTTAGCAGGGCATTCAAAGCACATGTGCACCACGAGACGACAGCGGTGGGTAGAACATACGTAGTAGTCACTGATCATGACGCCAGCGATGGAGCTCAGAAAGACGCTGTAACTCGACAGGTAGGTCGTGAATTGGTTGCTGTCGGTCAGGAGCGTGTAGGGGCACATGGCCAAGCCGACGGCGGCACAGATGTAGCCCCCGCGGCGGATGTTGAGGAACCGAGGCAGGAGCGCCGTCATGTCCGTGCCGGCCGAGACCGAGTTGGCGGCAATGTTGGTTCCGAGCTGGGCCAGCGCGAAGGCGAAGGCGATGACGAAGACACCAAAGCGCTCGCCGGAGCCGCCCTCTTGGATGAAGCGCTCAAGCAGCTTGAGCGGATCCCATACCGGCTCCTTGTAGATGATGGCCGAGGCCGACGAGACGATGATGCCGATAAAGGAGGTCAGGGCGAAGCCGACGGGGATGGAGATGAGCTGCGACCAGAGCGCGTCGCGCGGCTTTTGGGCAAAGCGCGTAAAGTCCGGGTCGTTGACGATGAGCGTGGCGAAGTTGGCGATGCTGCTCATGACGCCTAGCACAAACTCCCACGCCAGCTCGGATCCGTGAAGGCGGCCGGGCGTGTTCACGATGGGGCCCACGCCGCCAGCGCGCACAACGGCCCATATAAGGAATGCGATGGCGGCGACGGGCACGAAGTAGGCCTTGACCGTGAACAAGTGGCGGATGGTGTGGACGGGAAACCAGATTGCAGGCAGCGAGAGGAGCCAGAAGAGGAAGAACGAGACATAGTCCGCCGTCGTAGCCCCTGAGTCTTTAGAGAAAGTATTGGGGATCAGGTCACGGTCCTGTCCGAGTTAGCCGTATCAGTAAGCTTCAAGATACTAGAGGCATTCGTGGTCAATTCTTACCCAGCTCGTCCAGATGGATTGGATCATGAGGTAAACGCAACGTCCGCCAATCCATGACTGGACCCCGTACCAAACGCAGGCTGTTGCGGGAGAGAGAGAGTGCCTGTCAGTAACGGGGGCCTTCTTGAGGGCTAGCGTTCCCAGGAACGATTGCGCTTTCAACTCACCCATAGCGGCACGGTTGAAAACAGGCCACAGACTGCCCCAGATACCAAAGGAGGAACGCGATACGACGGGGAAGCCGATGTGGTAGGTGGCGCCGATGCGGCCGGTGAGAACGATGAAGCCGCCGGCAATGGTGTATCCAATCCAGACACAGAGCCATGACTGCCACCACGACAGGCCGCCGACCACCCTGCGATGCTCTCTGGTCAACTTCCAAGTCTGACAAGGGGCTGTGGCTGAGGTTGAGACTCACATGGAAGACGAGATCATCCATGTGTTGATGTTGAAGCAATCAGCGATCCAAAAGCCCACGAAGTTCCATGGACCCCATTGTCGCCGTTCAGGCTCGACTAGTTTGAGATCATGATTCGTCAACTGAATCGGAGAAATTGTGTCAGCGCCGGGCGGCAATCTGTTTATTCTCTTTGCTTCAATAATTACTCGCATACGCAGCGCAAACTTACCATCAACTGGGCATTCGTCAACCCCGGCTCGGCCTCAACAGCGAGCTTGTCGGCCCATTTTCGCAGTCTTGCCCCCTTCTCTGCCATTGCGGTGGCCATGGGGGTTACCTGGAGGCGTCTCGGCGTGGGGCTTGCGTGTTCTAGCGCCGGCAGCTGTTTAGAGGGCCTCAATGGCTGGATTCGCGATTTGGCGCTAGTCGAGAGCTTGTTCCCAGACCCGAAAACGATGACGAATTCGGACGTTCTCTTGTTCGAGTGCAATCAAGGTCGGTCGGCGCAAATTTGTGCGAGACGTCTCTTGGTTTCGAGGGCTTCCAAAGCTCTGCAACGGTCTGAACTCTGCGCTGCTATGACGACACGACAGCCATATGCAGCTCGGGTCTGATCTTGCCTTTGTCTGGTCTTGGGGCGTGGGGGACAAATCCGACCACCCTGGTTTGGATGACGATCCAAGACTTGAACTCGCACAGTAGAGGCTTTGGAGGCCCCGCGAGGGGAAAGGGCAAAGACAACAAAGAAGGAATGTGCTGGGACAAGCAAGTCGTTTTACGACAGTCGAGGGCAAAGAGCCAGGGCGGGCACACCAAGGGACTTAAATATATCGGAAACATGGAAGACTCCAACACGGAAGCGCCGTGGGACGCAAAGGCGGAGAAGGGCGCATCGTTTATCCATCAGATAGCTGCCCGCCTACGTAGCTACCGACCTAGTCCACAAGGGCTACAGGGCTTTGCGCATCCACATACCCCAGGTGCCAGAGTAACGCCATCTCGATAGCAAGACACAGTCTTGGGTGCATACCGGAGGGCGATATGCCCCCACTCTGGATGGGAACCGGCCCGCTAGCTGTGTTTGCGCGCGTGTCTGGAGGCGGATGGTGCGTCTGCGCTAGGCGAAAAAGGAAAAGGGCCTGCTGCAACTCATGTTCGCGCAGACTATGTCGGGGAAGCCACTTCTGGCACCGGATGCGGGGCGGGGCTCGCTTCGGATGCAGCGCAGGCGGGCCAAGTCCGGGCGACGCGAGTCGGGCTCCCTGCCAGAGGCGACGGCTCTGGTTTTGACAGCTGTCTGGGCAGGCTGGTTGCTGGGAATTTCCTGCCATATTGTGCTGCCGTAGTGGTCAGTAGGTATGTGTTGTATGTTCTGCTCGCTCTGCTTCCTCTGCTTCTCTGTCCCAACTTTCAACTCTTTACCTAGACCTTGCATCTATCTCTTGGCGCCTTTTGTCCCACCACGCCATCGAAAGAATTGGCCCGTCCTTATCGGGAGATTCGCTCATTCCCGTGGGCTGGGAGTGAACTGCGCACAGACCACAGAAGATAGCCTATCAGCCCCCAAGCTTTTACTCGATCTCATCGAGTCAACCGATGGAGCAGGGGCGGGGCCAAGCCTGGCAGGGCACGTGCTGAGCGAACTGTCGCCATCGCCACCGACGAGCATCTTTCGCTGATTAGGTGGCATTGATCAATGAATGCCAGCTCTCTCAATGTCGGGTCCAATTGCCAGACCCGGCCCAAAGGGGGCTAAAATCGATAACGACCGGTTAGAATTGCTCGATTGGAGTATGGCTCTCCCAAACGACCAACAAAGACGCCGGCCAGAACCACCCACGGCTCGCACATGGCCTCGGCCGACCCTTCGACACACGCAGCCAGATAAAGGGAAAGAGCATCCGCTCTCTAGGCCGCCATGTATCCTGTAGCGCGGTGGCCTCGGGTTGTTCCCCGGCTCCGACGAGCCTTGCTTGCATGTCTCCAGCGCCCCAACGGCGGCAGTCTGGAGTGGGAATTTCGCCATGCTCCTCCTGTGTAACCCCCTCGTGGCTGGGTCGTGTCCTGGCAGCTGACACGAACCCACCATCCAGCCCTACCGCGTGGCGCAGTGTAGCACAGCAGATCCGTCGAGGACAGCGCAGCTCTTCCAGAATCTGACCTGACTGGCTTGTGGCACTTGAACTTGACGGAAAGCGGCGTGATTTGTTCATCTCGTTTTGTCCAACTTCGAGGGTCCACCAACACTGTTGACATCACATCACAACCACTTTTGCTATCTTCCTGCTCATTCTCTATCTTTTTGCGTCTCAGGACAGTCAGCTGACATCCAATTGATGCCTGCGAGAAACTCCGACACCACCACTCCGCCCCCCTCTACAGGTTGATTCTTTCCATGGCCGGACATGATGCCGATTTCGGTAATCGCACCTCCCGAAGATTACCACATCCACCCTCGCACCTCCAACCACCCGCCCTCACAGCGTGATTCCGCCAACACCCGTTTTGGGTCATAATACGACCGGCTTGGGTTCCGTCGAAGGGCCGCCCCCCTCGGCCGTACCGCCTCCCACACCGACTATTGGCGTTCCCATGCGGCGGGTCAAGGCAGCCTTGCCCAAAGTCCCCTAGGCAATAGTTGGGGGCTGCTCACGGGACTGCAAAGTTCCCAAAACGATACTCACTGATCCTAACCGGTCGCTTCCTCCGTCAACTAAGCCATCCCTCCTCGCAGCGCCCTGTCGGTTAACGGCTGTGGCGTTTTTCGCGTCATCCTCCCGCGCTGACGTATATCCCACGCCCGCGGCTTGAGCCACTTTCCGCCGACTGACAGGACGCCAACGGGCCGCTCTGCACACTCACAGTTCAGCCACCCACGGGCTAATGCAAAGAGCCTCGGATGGCAAGCAGGGGGCCCTGTGCGGGTGTGCACGGGAGTTGACGCTGTGACGCCAACAGCGCTGCGTGTTCTCCATATACCTCCCCAAACAAGGCTGAGGCGTGGCGTTGGGCCGCCCCACGATGAGAAGGCTTTCCCCTGATCCACTACGGCCGCCGCCTTCTTGGCTCAGAGTGCCGCCCCCGGCAGCCCGTTTGTCAGCCTGCTGGCCATGCTGACGGAACTCATGGCCTGTCTCCTGCATCAAACCCCGCCTGCTTCCGCTCAGGTTGCTCGTCTCTGCCCGGAAGTCTCACCGGCCCGGTATTTTACGCAGGAATCTATCGGGTGGCATCTACGTGGATGACCGAGGTTGGCCAAGACGGCCAGTTTGTGGACTTCTGGCCCCTGTTGAAGCAGTGGTCACGAGGGGGTAAATTCCCGAACTTGGGTCATAGCATTCGTCCTTTTGTCTCTTGTTACCCTTTCCGGATCATGACCTCGCACCATCGGGCATGTTCGGACATGGCTCACTCGGGTATGGCTCACTCGGGTATGGCTCACTCGACCATGTTTCTCTCCGCCTCACCGGCCAGGCTGGCACCCAAATCCGCATTCGTGCTGCCCTGGCTGCGGCTTGCTCTGCCGTCACCGGATCTGCGGCGCCTTCTACATGAACCTTTCCGCTGGGGGCCGCACCTTCTCGGGACATACACACTACATCCCCACCATAGCCACGCCCGTACACCATCATGCGCCTCTCTAGCGCAGGGAAACATGTCATGTCATCAGCCCTATGGTGTTGACATGTTGGAAAGATTACATACGCCTTGCTGGGCCTCACTCCTCACCGTTTGAGACCGGTCTGTTGGATCTGATCCTTCGGGCTACTGATTGCTCCTTGCATCCGTAAAGGCTATGCGTAGCTTCCAAGCCTTGTGGGGGAGGCTCCTGTTCCATATAAGACCTGGCGGCCAGGTGCTTCTGCATGCGGATAGATGGAACGAAATTATCCCCAGACCTCCGCCTATTAGCCCTCAACACCCTCCTTTGTGTTGCTCCTCAACCAGCAAGCTTTGTCTTGGTTGCATATATCCTTCGAGTCCACACTCTGCTAGCTAACTAGCTGTTGGTAACTGGCTTCCTTTGGCTCCAAATACCCCTTGCTTGCAAGCTGCACCCGGTGAACATGAGCAGCATGCCTCACAAGCCAGACGTGCCGCCGGCGCTCGTCTCGTCCACCGAGCACTCGTCCGTCAAGCAGTTCCGCGACCGCGTGGTCTCGCAGCGGCAGACAACGCTCCGGGAGCTCACGCGGTTCCTGCATACCATCTGGCTCTTCACCGAGTCCGACGTCAAGACGGTGCTCGTGCCCTCGGCCCTGTTCGGGCTCGCCAACGCCGTGGCGCTGTGGCTGCTGCTGCCCGAGTCGGCGGGCGTGCCGCACCCGCGCGTGGTGCTGGGTCGGGCGCCCCAGATTCTGCTCTACGTCTGGGTCAACCTGGTCGTCATCGACATCCAGAACCAGCGCGACCCGGACGCCATCGAGGAGGACCGCATCAACAAGCCCGGCCGCCCCCTGCCGTCGGGCAAGGTGTCCCCCAACGAGGCCGGCAGCCTGCTCGTCGCCTCCGTCATCATCGCCGTCCTCGCCAGCTACTGCCTGGGCGCGCCGGGCGCTAGCGTCCTCGTCATCCTGCTCGGCTACGCATACAGCGACCTGGGCGGCTCCGAGCACCCGTTGCTCAGGAACCTCCTCAACGCCCTGGGCATGCCGTGCTTTGCCGTCGGCGCCCTCCAGGTCGCCCTGAACCCGACCTACCCTAACCCCTACCCCACCCCATCATCCCCCAGCGGCGGCGGTAACGGCCCGTGGGTGCCGCTGCTCGCGGGCCGCTGGGTCCTGGTCCTGGCGGCCGCCATCTTCTCCACCATCTCGATCCAGGACATCAAGGACCAGGAGGGCGACGCGGCGCGCGGCCGCCGCACCCTGCCGCTCGTCGTCGGCGACGCCGCCGCGCGCTGGCTCGTCGCGCTGCCCGTCCTGGCCTGGTCCGCGCTCCTGCCGTGGCTTTGGGGCTGCGCCACTGCGGCGGCCTACGCGCCCGTGCTCGGCCTGGGCCTCGTCGTCGCCGCCCGCACCGTCGCCGTGCGCGGCGACGTGCCCGCGGACAAGCGCACCTTCAAGATCTGGTGCCTCTGGCTCGTCGCCATCTACTGCCTGCCCCTGACCCGGGCCCTGCTCGGGGGCGAGGGGTTGATGTTGGTCACGGCATGAGGGTGATTTCTACTCCATGGCAGATTTGCCAGTGTCTAATTGCTTATTTTCACTGTCCCGTTTGCGTCTTTCGAACTTGCTTCATGCACAGATCACAGCGGGTGATCTACTTCCAAAAAAGCTCGTTGCAGCGAATGCTTTTCTGTACAACATATCATTCTAGTTAGCACCAATACCAATGATAAGAAACTCTGTTTGCTTCATATCTCAATTGAGTGACGTCTCCAACGCCAACCTTCTCGTCTTCACTTTCCTTCTTCCGCTGTCAACCATGCGAGTGTGATGGTATATGCCACCTTATTCAATCCTGTTCTGGGTGCACAAATGAAGGGACCTAGCATAGCTTCCGATGCCAAACAAGACTGCAGCAGCTGTCGGGCGACAATGAAGGCGAGTCCCAACCAGGACAGAACGACTTGACTCAGAATTGGTAGAAATTCCGCTCTGCCCAGGGAGCATTGTTGTAAAGGAAGGGTTTGCTGTCAAGTCTTAACAATGAAGTCGGCAGCCCATAACATTCGTTTACAGGGAGTGGTCTTGACAAAGAGCTGAGACGGATCCATGATATTCTCGCGGCGTTACAAAGTCCAGGTTTATTCGCTTATGAGAGGCGCTGGGAAACCCTGATCTGATAGCCACCAGGGGCGTTGGGGAGGGATGGGAGAGTGACCGCATCTCCAACAATGGTTCTTATCACCAATATATTGGCCTTTGTTGGCGTGCTTCCTCGAGGAATGGAGTTTCAGGACATCGCCTCCTTGATCGTATAAGTACCTTTGCAGAGATGCTTGCTGCTATCGAGGAGAGGAAGACAGAGAACAAGCAGACTTATCAACTCTCCTCACTCGAGTTACTGGCTGAACCCCATCAAAAGAAGTTACCCTACGATAGTCTCACTTACGCTGATCTTCCACATACCACAACCGCAGGACCTAGCTACCATGGCAGCGTCCATGTCTATCCATGAGCGGCTGCGGCAGGTCTGCGGCCCCGCGGCGGTAGTCCTTGGCTACTTCTGGGTGCCATGCCTCCTCGCCCCGCTCTTTCGGTCTGGCGGCCACGCCGGGATGTTCTACTTTGGCTTCCTCCTGAGATACCTGAAACTCTTGATCTCGCTCGTCGGGACATGCTTCTACCGAAGCATCGCCCCCGAACGCGTCCTCGACCCGTCCACGGGCGAGCACAGGCCCGCCATCAGCCCCCAGGAGGCCACCGTCGTCGTCCCCACCCTCGACCCCGGCAGCGACGACTTCAGCGAGATGATGCTGACGCTGCTCAGGAGCGGCGTCCGCGCCATCGTCATCTCGACCGTGGGAGAGAAAAATGAGGGCATCGCCAGGGGCTGGTGCGGGCGCGGCGGCGAGGGCGGCGGCGAGTGCCGCACCCAAGTCACCGTGGCCCGCTGCCAACGGCCCAACAAGCGCCAGCAGCTGGCCGCGGCCATGGCGGGCGTGGGGGCGGTGGAGACGGAATTCGTCATCTTTGCAGACGACCACGTTTTCTGGCCCGAGGGCTACGTCGAGGAGCTGCTCGCGCCCTTCCGGGACCCCAGGATCGGCGGCGTCGGCACCCAGAAGCGCGTCCGCCGCGAGCGCCCGGGGCTGGGCTTCCTCTCGGCGCCGACGTGGGCGGGCCGCGCCGCGGGCGCGTGGGCGGCCCTGTCGGCCGACCTGCTCAACTTCCTCGCCTGCATCTACATCGAGCGGCACAACTACGAGAACCGCGCCTCCGTCGGCACCGACGGCAGCGTCTACGTCATCTCGGGCCGCACGGCCGCCTACCGCGCCCGCGCCCTCGACAACAGCTTCATGACGGACGACTTCTGCAACGAGTACTGGAGCTACGGCTTCGGCAGGGCCGGGCCCCTGAATTCCGAGGACGACAACTGCATAACGCGCCACCTGTTCAACACCGGCTGGCTCGTCCACTTCCAGTCCGGCGCCCGGGCCACCATGGAGACGCGGCTGGGCGTCGAGGGCTGGACCAAGTTCATGCGCCAGAGCGTGCGCTGGGCGCGCAGCGCGCCGCGGTCCAACACTACCATGCTCTGCGGCCGCGCCGTCTGGGCCACCCAACCCATCTCGGTCTACTCAGTGTGGATCGCCCGCATCATCAACTACAACCTGTTCCACGACGCCGCCCTGGTCTGGCTCGCCCACGCCTCGGGGGTCGTCGGCCCCTGGGCCATGCTGCTCTTCATCCTGGCCACCAAGCTGGTCAAGCCGCTGCCGCACTTTTTGCGCCACCCGGCCGACCTGGTCTACCTACCGCACATGGTCATCTTTGCCTGGTGCCACTCGTTCATCAAGGCCTGGGCGGCCCTGACCATACTTGAGACCGGCTGGGGCTCCCGCCCTAGTGTTGTTGCATAGATAACAGCTAGGAGCTTGGTAGCATGGCGACGAAGAGGGGGTGATGTGAGTATTTTGACACTAACGCAGCGATGAGAACACGACTTTATAACCACAAACCTCAAGATGGATAAGTAAACTATGACTTGGAAAACAGGACAGGCCGAGGTAATACAACGACTTCCTCCAACAGAAATATCGAAACACCAGGTATCCCCAACACTCATGTCCAAAGTCGCAGGTAGCAAATAGAGCACTATAGCTCTCAGTACCCCTTGGCGGCAATCTCTGCGATAATGTCGGCTGCGTGATCCCTCCCGAGCCTGAGCTTGGCCTTTGCGCTGAGGGCCTTGGCCTTGGCCCTGGCGGCGACGGTGAAAGGATCGTCCTCGGACAGGAGCTTCAGGATGGCGGCGCTGAGCTCCTCGACGGTCCAGTCCGGAGCCGACTGCTTGCTCGCCCAGATGCCGAGGCCGGCGTACTCGGCCAGCGTGGCGTAGCTGTACAAGTCCCCCCAAAGCGGCAGGATGACGTGCGGTACTCCAGTGCTATTGTTTTAGTAATTCAGTCTTTCAGTCAGCGCAGGCCAGACGGATAGGTAGGTACGTGTGTACCTCGGCAGTTAAGGGACAGCAGTAAAAAGACACAAAGCAACTCACAGCACAGCCTCATTGAAAACATTGGCCCCTCCATGGTGCACAGAAACGGCGACGTGGCCTGACTCCAGCAGCGCCGTGGGGTCGACGGTGAGCCAGCTCGGCAGCCGGACGCGGCCCTCGTTGATGAAGCGCCGCAGCGGGCCCTCGACGACGTCGTCGGCGTACTGCGGCTCGCCCGGCGCCACCTCGAGCTTGCGGAACTTCCAGATGACCCGCGTGCCGGGCGGGCCCCTCTCCAGCACGACAGCTAGCGCCCCGGCCACGGCGCGCGCCTGCCGCTCCGAGAAGCGCACGGAGCTGCCCAGGTTGACCAGCACCGCGGGCCCCCCGCCGCCGCCGCCGGCGAGCCAGGCCGCGAGCTCCGGGTCCTGCTCGGCGGCGGGCGCGACCGAGACGGCGATGGGCCCCACGGCCGTGACGTTGGGCGGGAGGTACGCCAGCGGCAGCATGGCGCCCTCCATGTCCTGGGTGATGAGGGGCACGCCGTCGTCGCGGCGGATCTGCCTGAGCCTGAGGGGGTCCAGCACGCCGGCCTCGCGCAGCCGCCGGCGCTTCTCCCCCAGGCCGGGCGCGAAGACGACGTGGTAGGCCAGCCTGGCCAGGATCGCCAGGTTCTCGGGTATCTTACGCCACGGCAGGGGGAAAGGGAAGCCCGAGGTCAAGGCCGGGTACCGCCAGAGCACCTGCCCGTAGGGCTGCTCCCGCGCGAACAAGTCGGACAGCGCGTTGGGCGACAGCACCACCCGCATGCGGTTCATGTCCTGGGCCGCCTCCATGGCCGGGCGGAACAGCATGTCCAAGACGACGACGGCCGGGTCGACCTGTTCGATGAGTCGACGCACCTGCTGGTAGATGCTGATGTGATCCTCGACGGAGAAGGGCGAAATGACCCGGGGCATCATCTCGTACAAGGACGCCGAGCGCTTGAGCCCCGGGCCGTGCGTGAGGGTGGTTATGCTAATGTTGGATTCCTGGAGGGATTTCACAAAGTAGAAGCCCTTGATCTCATGAAACGTGATGGGCCGGGGCCCCCGAGAGACGCGGTCGACCCTCGCCTTGGCGTGCATGGAGCTGGCGACGTGCACCTCGGCCTGCGGGTGGCGCTGTTGGAGCGAGAGGGCCGTGGCCACGTGCACGTTGGAGAGGCCATGGGGGCCGGTAAAAATGAGCAGGACCGTGTTTTTCCGCCCCACGATCATCGGCGACTCGTTGGCCGGGGCCGGCCAGGAGGGCCAGGCACCCGTCTGATACAACGCCAGCAGGGCGGCGAGGAGGACTACGGCCACGCCGCCAAGATTCGTGCGCGAGTCCATAGCGGCCGTTTCTTTGTCGCGGCGTAGATGCGAGCCGGAGCTACAGTTCACGGCAGACCAATACCAGCCGAAATGGACGAGATTAACAAACCAGCCGAGATGGGTGTCGGCGGGAAGAAAAGAGAGAAGAAGCCGGCAGGATCAATAGCATCACACTTAGCCGTCCATATAAAGCCACTGGGAGCGCCAAGCCATGTCGACCACCGGCACCGTCGGGGATACTGCAGGCTTCCATTTTGCTATGCGGCGTCATCGCCCTGCAGGCCTTTGGGTTGCTGTATCAGTTGCCTCCCAGTCGGCTGGGGGATGGTGTAGTAGGATTGGCCAGGCTAGCATGTCTTGGATCTGCGGTACTACCAAGGCTGGGAGTGGCTTCGTATCTCATCCTGATGCCCCCTCCATCTCCTTGTTATCGCTGCGGGCCGGCCCCCCCTCTCGCTTTGGCTGTGACACCACAAGAACTTGAGCATTTCTCCGTCAAGGCTTGGCCAGGCTTGTCGTCTTTCAGAACCGAATGCCAGCAGCACGTTTTTGCACTCGATCGATCAAGCCTAGGGACGATTGCACATGTGTACGAAAAAGCAAATCTCCGTCTCAGCTGACGAATTGACCGGTCGGTGGTGCCCTAACCACCACCCAATAGGTCGTGTCGATGCACTGTTGCCGTGCCGTAAACGTGAGAAATGGCGCATAGTTTAGCTTCAGCGCCACTAGCTACCCCTCATGAGAGGATGCTACGCAAGCCCCGCTGTGGATGCATCCTTTACAATTCCCTGGTGGTGTCAGCGTCTCACCGTGTTCGCAATATTGGCGAACAACTCGGAACCTAGCTGGACACATCACTTCGGGCAACATGATAAGAAATAAACTGCGGCTTGATCCAAAATGATACACATAGGTAGAGGGCTGTAGGAGCAACGAAAAGTCGGAAGAGCATACACTGGGGATTATAATTCGAGAATTGGGGACGCTCCGTTAAGGGCAACATTATAGCAAACCCGCCTGCTCTGCCTTATCATTCCACGATGAAGCCCTTTTTGGAGGTTGCATCGGCAATCGAAGGCTCCACCCCAGTGCCGCCGGCTTCCGGCTTCCGGCCCGTTAGCGTCGACGGCGCCAGCGGAACGGTGGACTCATCCAGAGGCTCTCCCTCGGGCCCACTGGTCTTGACGCCCACGAACGAATCGGTGTCTCCGTCTTTGTCTTTGCCAGAGTCAACCGGCCCTGGCGCACTCTTCCCGTCGCCCCTGTCGATCTTGAGACTCTTTATGCTGCTAGCTCTGCTGACATTGGCGCTGTTGGGGTCCTGGACACGCAGGCCCAGCCGCTTCTCCGCATCTGGGTCTTCCTTGTTGGCCCCTTTCCAGTCCGCCGCCACCATCTGCGGCACCTCATCGCCCTCGCCAGGCTCCCTGATCTCGGTGGATGCTCTGGTCAGGTGGATTGCGGCGCCCCCCTGGTTGCTTTCCAGGGGCCTGCTTTGCGCGGGTGATGTGCCCTTGGGCTCATCCTCCTGTGCGGACTCGACGGCTCTCCAGACGACGGCCAGCCTGTCGAGGCCCCGCGTCCCCTTCTGGCTGCTCCCCTTGATGCCGTCCAGTTTGTCCCACTCAATCTCAAAAACACCGCTGTTGTCCGCCTTGCCTCCCTGCTCGGGTCCCCTACCCTCGAAGAAGACATTGAACCAAACGTGCGCCACGGCCGTGACCATGGTCATGAGCCCCATGGACGCCGGTGCCTTGTTGCGCCGCTCTACGGCGATGTTTATGTCGCTGTTCGGGACTATCAGCGGCTGCTTGGGCTTGAATATAACTGCCATTCCGCCAGGCTCGGTTTCCGAGCTTACGGACGCCTTGCTCAGTGAGCTTTGTGAAGCCGAGGCCGTGGCTGGTGTCGTAGCGGGGGTTGTGGCCGAGGATAGGAGCTGGCTGCTGGCCGCAGCGGAAGAAGAAACGGACGCCGCGTCTCTCTGTTCGGCCTTTACTCTATGGGGACTCTTGGTGGCGCGCTTGGAAAGCTTGCGCATCAAGCTCGCGGCTTTGGATGACTTGTTTGGCTTGATGAGAAAAGCATCAACGCCATCGTTCTTCCCGGGCGCGTCCTTTACAGCCTCGTAGTCGGCATCCTCCCCGGCACCCGAGTGGGCCTCTGCGGCGGCGAGCTTGGTTAGATCGGGAACGACCTCAGCGACGGCGCCAGCACTGGGGGTGTCGCCCTCGACGATGACCCTCTCGTCACGCGTGAAGGTGTGCAACACCTTGATTTTGCGCCCCTCGTCGACAAAGTGCTCGACCGAGACCTTGACGCCGCTGCGCAGACCCCACATGTGCACCTCGAGGATCTCGACGGCGCGGTCCGTGTAACGTTTGCCCCCTTGGTTGGCCCACCTGTCCACGTAGCTAATCCAGCGGAGTTGCGAGGGGATCGTCACTCCGGCGCCGAACTTGGGCCGCATTCGTCGCTCCGTGAACCTCGCCAGGGCGTCCTCAGGCGTCCATCCACGCTCCGAGATGAGGAAGCTGCACGCCATTGAGCCCGACCGGCCCTTGCCTGCCTTGCAGTGCACCACGACTACGCGGCCCTTTTTGGTCCCGGCCTCGACGTTTTGCGATGTGTGCTCCGCCGACTCCAGCCGCTCAGCTTTCGCCTTGTCCTGGACCCCTTCTACTCCTCTCGAAGCTAGGCGGTCTCCTGAACTCTTCAGGTCGGGCTGAATCGTGGCATCGACGCCATTTCCAACTTGACCGTCCTCGTCTGCAGTGCTGTGGGGCCCGGCGCCGCCCAGGTCTCCGCCGGCGAGCCAGTTGCGCATCGAGGCTATTATCAAGGGCACGATGCGGAAGGGTGGCGGGTGGTGGTCGGGCCAGGGGTAGTGCCTGATGCGCCCGTACACAGCATCGTCCGGGTACCCGGTTCCCTCACCACGGAACTCCCATATGGCCCAGTCGTCGCCATGCTGGTCGTCGAGGAAGGCGACTAGCCGATCGAGGGGATTGCGGTAGGCCCGCTGCGGGTATGTCTGCGACGGCCCGGATCTGCGGGTTGCGATTTCATTTCGTGAGCTTCCAAGGCCCGCCTACTCGCGCGACTGGACGGACAAGATACGGCAGGGGCGGCATACGTCGCGATAATGTTTGATGTAACGTAGCAGAGGTCGAGGCCTGTTTCCTCATGTCTGGCTCTCGGCCCGGCCACGATCTGTCGTAATATAGACGCCATTACGGTGTCTTCGGCGAGTGGTAAAGAAGAGAGCAATCGTCTCGTTTCAGATAGGCGCGCAGGGATCAGGGCGTGATCAAAGGAGCAGGAGGAAGTATAAGAGCGGCGCGCTAAGAAAGAACTTGGGCACAATCAAGTTGAAGGTATTTGTCCCAGGATGGCAGCCTTGCGTCCTTCTGTTTCGCATTCGGCACAAGAGGTGCGCATCATTTGTGCTGGTTGCCTCATCTTGCCGCCTGGTAGGACTCAACCACTCGGTGATGGACGGCAGGAGCGAACCACCAACCACAGACCCGACTCTGCGGAACACCGCCCGCCGCCTGCCTGCAAGCAACGTCATCGAATCGAATTTTGGGTGCTTAGAGTATACCTGGCCCGTGCGCGACGAGAGAAACAAGCATGGGGGGTTTTATCCGTTCACGCCCCCCTAACCCTGGTTGGATCGACAGAGGCACATGCCAAAAACGAGGCTGCGCTGAGGTGCCGCCGCCGCTATGACGAATTGACTTGATATTTCAATCATCAAGCGGAAATACTGCAAGATCTTCCGCTGGGACAGAGGTATCAGACTAGACGTACCCGGCTGGTAAACCGGACCGGATTGGTCTACCGTCACGCAACAAAACCAAGGAAGTCAAACTAGAATTCCAACAGAAAGTGCCGGCATAGTACGGCCATCTCGAGCTCCGCTTAAAACTGATGAAAAAAGCATGATGGCAGGTAAACAAACCAGGGAGTAGAACGCTCAAGACAGGGGAAATATTGTGCGCCGCGCCATGAGCCCATTACCTCTCCTGTGCCTTTTTGTCAGACATCCCTTCTCCCCTAGCCCTCAACAATCTTCCCCCACTGAATGAGTCCCATCTTGAAATCCCGGAAACCATTGGTACAATACACGCCATCCTAAGGACAGTCTCTTCAAAACGGCCCTGCCATGAGAGCTTCCTGTGCAAAGTATCGACAGCATATATAGCGGTTCCACGAAAGGGCGCGAGCAGAAAGGCCGGCCGATGCCAAAAACGCTCGATAGCGGTGGCATGTCCAAGCCAAGCTCCCGCAATGCCCTCAACACCATTCCATTCTCGTTGCTGTGAGCCTCTTAATCCCGTACCTCCGCAGATCCCCTGTCACCCGCATCTGTTTTCGACGCCAAGATTTCATGACGCACAAAAAACGCACACATTCCGGCATGCAGCGAGGGCATAGCATAGCGGCAAGCTGTCTGTGGAGGGTGCTCAAGAGCTCTTCTTGGGTGCGGCAGCCCCAGCCCCGTTGACGTAGCGGGTCAGGTCCGTCATGAGGTAGAACTGCCTCGAGGCATTCTTGATGACATCCCAAGCCTGGCGCACGGCGGGCGGGGTGCCCTGGTTCCCCATTAGGTTGTCAAGCTTGACTTCGAGCTGGGCGAACGAGTTCTGCACATGCACGCTCTGCGAGAAGCGCGCGCGCAGAAAGCCCGTGTAGATAGGCAGCAGAATCCAGGAGCGGCGCTGGAACATGAGAGCCGAGAGGCACAGCGAGAGCCAGAGCGAGATCTCAAGCGTCGCGACCACTGACATGGACGCATCATAGTACTCCTTGACAAATCTGCCGATCATTTCGGCAACCGGGTGAGATGTCGACTTTGCCCCTGGGGCCGCCTCCGCAGCGGGGGCTGCCTTGGGCGGGGAGATGGCTGGGATCAAGTTGGCGCGAGCGTAGGTCGCAACGTGGAAGAATGAGTAGATGGAATACGGGAGCGTTGCCAGGATGTATCGGGGAGAGAAGAGCCACACGAGGCCGAGAACTGACCAGGATAAAACAAGTTAGCGACAGGATGGAGAAGGATTTGGGGAGCGCAACGCGGGGCCGTAGGTTGACGTACCCAGATACTGGACATTCTCATCCGCAGCCAAAGCAAGTGGGCTGATCGGTCCCGCTCGCTGCTTGATCCGGGAACGCAGAGTCTTGTACACCACGATTCCGTAGGTGGTGACGGCGGAAAGGAAGACAAAGCGGTAGGCAATGTTGGAGCGGTATCCGTGGAAGGTTATCCACGCGAGCGTGTACTTGGCGGTTCCAGCGATCAGGATAAAATGACTGAGGCGGTGGTAAAATGTCAGCAAAAAAGTTCTTTCCAATGTAAACTCGTTACCGCCACCTCCGTCTAGGGCTGAGGAGGTGGTGGGAGTTTGCGCAAGGCGCCAACGTGGCACCACAGTGGCGACCAGGTTTGACGATTCAATAGCTAGCTCGCTGCTCAGCAAACAACCACAAACGGAGTCGAGACATACCCGATAAACCATGCGACTAGGAAGAGCAAAAACAGCGGCGTTAGCAAGACGATTTGGCAAAAAGGATCGCATGAGACGTGAACACGTACATTGCAAAGTCTGGGCCAGGGCGGCAAGCCGCTGGGTCAAGGGCAGGTTCGCCGGTGGGGGCGCCATCGTCGCTCGGATGTCGCGGGGCAAGTCGGAGGGGTGGATGCGATGGCAATAGCAGTATCAGGAGGACCAGAGAGGGCGGCGACGGGTGAGGCGATATTGTTGAGAACGATCGGGTATCACCAAGTTCGAAGAAGCGAGCAGATTCGGCACAAAGATATTGTCGTGTGCTTCCGTCGAGACGGCGTCGGATGGAGAGAGCGGACCTTTGGTGGAGATGAAGAGGCTAGGTGGAGGTTGTGGTTTATCGTGGGTCGCGGCGACTCGTAGGTGGCTGGCAAGGAACTGGAACTCTGGTCAGGGCTGGGTCAGTCAGGCTTGTTCGTGGTCGGTGCGTCATGGGTCTGGAATCCGTCGCACGCCTTTTTGGGGGGTGTGGGATTCGGATGGAAGCTTGGACCGCCTATGCTCACCTGCCTCGCTGAAGACGGGGGGGGTCGACCTCATGCCAGTCCCTGATGACGCCAAAAATACTCGCGTGTGGGTTTGTCTGTTTGCAGCTGAGATCGAGTCGGCTCAATCAATCCTTCGCCTGTAAACCCGCTCTGATCAAAGGGCGGACGGCAGCTCGAGGTTGGGATAAGAGATTGAGGCGACCACGACTGGTGGCTTCAAATTCGCAACGTCTTGGTGGCACGAGCTGGAGGTGTCTTGGCCTGATTTCCGCCTAGTGCCACCACAAGCCTGAGATCTCCTTGGTTGGGCCGCAGCCAGAGCGCACGAACCCCGCGGCACTTTTCGTCATTGCCGTAACTCCCAGTTTTGGTGCCAATCGCCTCCAGAATGCAGGCACGCCCACCACAAAAAAAATGACAGTCTTACAGGAGGTCTCGGGGACCAAGTGAAATTGTTAGTGCCGTAAGCTTTCCTGTTCTTATTTTTTTTTTCTGTTATTATTCCTATTGTTATTCCTATTTTTATTCGAGTTTTTATTCGTATTTTCTTTCTCTTTCTCTTTATAGTTCCGTACCAATTCCTATTCCTATTCCTCGAACGAACTGCCATTTTTTTGTGGTGGGCGTGGTAGGTTTCCCAGCCGCACAAGACGCATCCATGTTCGAGAGGCGCCTCAACCACACGTGTTCCTCGGTCTGGGATCCTCCCTGAGCCTTCTTCGTATCTCTCCCCGGAGAGACCGAGAAAATGGCATGACTCAACCCAAAAGTTTGCACCGAGTGAGGCTCGGCAGGCGTTCCAGTCTCAGCTCCTCAAAGTCCCGCTCTCTGTAATTCTCGACAAGATATACACCAGAGGATACATCTTCCCAGGGAGTCATCGCCGAAACACAGCGAGACACAAACCAGCCGCTAGCACGAGAGACGCGCAAGCTAGGACACAAAAGACCCATCCTTGTCTACACACTTGTCTACATACGCCCATCGACAGCTACCATGGCTACTGACGAGTACATCCTGACGCTGTCGTGCCCCGACAAGCCGGGCATCGTGCACGCCGTCACGGGCGTCTTCGCGGCCCGCAAAATCAACATCCTGGACCTCAAGCAGTTCTCCGACACGGTGTCGCAAAAGTTCTTCATGCGCGTGCACTTCGGCCCCGCCCCGGCCGCCGAGGCCGACGAGCTCGGCGGCAGCGACTTTGCGAAGCTTGCGGCCGAGTACGGCATGACGTACGACGTGCGGCCCGTGTCGCGCAAGACAAAGGTGCTCATCATGGTGTCCAAGATCGGCCACTGCCTCAACGACCTGCTGTTCCGCGCCCGCAGCGGCCGCCTCGCCATCAACGTGGCCCTCATCGTGTCCAACCACCCGGACTTCGCCGCCCTGGCCGAGAGCTACGGCGTCGAGTTCCGCCACCTGCCCGTCACCAAGGACACCAAGGCCGAGCAGGAGGCCGAGGTCCTGCGCCTGGCCCGCGAGCGCGGCGTCGAGCTCGTCGTGCTCGCGCGCTACATGCAGGTGCTCAGCCCGACGCTGTGCGAGGCCATGAGCGGCCGCATCATCAACATCCACCACAGCTTCCTGCCGTCCTTCAAGGGCGCCAGGCCCTACCACCAGGCCCACGACCGCGGCGTCAAGATCATCGGCGCCACGGCCCACTTTGTCACGGCCGACCTGGACGAGGGCCCCATCATCGAGCAGCGCATCTCGCGCGTCGACCACAGCATGGGCCCCAAGCAGCTGGTCGACGAGGGCGCCGCCGTCGAGACCCTGGTCCTCGGCGCCGCCGTCCAGTGGTACGCTGAGCGCAGGGTCTTTCTCAACAACCAAAAGACGGTGGTGTTCAACTAGGGCGACTCGTTTCTGTTGCAGTTCACGGCGGGCTTTTTTTC